GGTTCCCGGGACGGTCTTGGTAGAGGTTAACCTTGGAAGTCTCATGGCTTTCTTAAACGGTCGACCTGCATGACGTTCCTTGGATGTCAGGAACTACGATTTGTGGTAAGCGCAAGTTGCATAAGCAGTAAGGCTCTTTTTGTGCTTTCTAGGAACGAATACCTTGGAGTGTTATAGTGACCCGGTGCAATTAGTTCGCTCAAGCATTGATAGCCAAACACTTGATGCCTTCATTCCATCTTTTAAGGGGCGTCCTTTAGCGGTTGCTTCTTGAAGCAAACCAATTTCCCGCACGCCACTCTGGCTCTTGAGGAGCACAGGTCACGACCTCAGCTGAGATATCTACTCACGGGAAAACTAAGTTTTCGAAGAGACGGCTACTTGGTCTTACATTTGCCCAACACACAATGTCGTCCGTCATCTGTCATTACATTGGAATGATTCACAGCTCATGCTCGACGAACGAGAACCTTGTAACACGGAGGAAGCGAGTTGAAATGGGTCTTCCGTTACCGCTTTCAGTGTTCATTGCCAGTGAACATGTTGGCGCTAGGCAACTCCGGTCTTTTACAGATTCAGAAATCAGAGAAGAAACAAACCATTGCGTTGTGTGCTGAGGTCATGCTTCAGATTCTCTGGCTTTTGATAGCTTAATAAGTTCTGCAGTTGACCAGATACACAAAAGCAGCCCCTTAAAGTATCACAAGGCACCCCACAGACGAGATGATAGTGTTTGGAGAGTGTCTCAAGGCCCGTCAGTGAGATTTCCATCAGTCCCAACGTCCTGTATTATCTTACAGACGGGATCCATCTCTGTATAAACAACAGGAGTTTTCATAGAAAGTTTATTGTTCTCCGCCAAAGTTATTTCTTCCTTCCAGCGTGCTGATTGCCGGGGTACACCAACACACGCAAGAGGGTCAACAGACTTGCAATAATATCTCATTGTTTTTTATTCTCACGAATTTACCCTGTCTTCGTAAGACAATCCCCTCCCATCACTACTTTCGACTGGAGGTTATTCGTAGCCCATACTGGTCAACACGGAAACTACCGAGAATGCAAGTGGTGGGAAGATTGGAGGCCTAATTTGCCAAAACTAGGACATAATCAAGAGCAACCACAAAAGGAAAAGCATGGCTGTGTCAGAATTCACATCCACTGTAAGCATCGAGAGCCTACCAATTGCTGGTCAAGCTGCATGCTACATCAAACGCCAATCAAGTCCAACGTTCATATCTGCGGCCCAACGAATGGCCGGCCCCTCATCAATCACACAGAATCCACTTATCAGATGCGGCACTTCCCCCTCTTCAGATTTACTGGCGTCATTAGAAATGCTGCTGCCTGGGAATCCCAAGCTAATATATCTCATGAGGAGTCCGTTTCTTCTGGTTCCTTTCTGTAGAATCGCTTCTTCATCTAGCTTCATCTCTCACAGTCACACCACCCTCCGTTATGAGCCGTCCATCAGGTTCTCCCTTCGCCGGTTTACAGCTGGATGATGATGACTCGATCCGGCTGTTGGAGCTACAGCCTGGCCAGCGAGACAGCCCCATCTTAATCCGGCTCTTCATCTACAAGTTGACAATCGCTCCGTCGTATGAAGCACTCTCTTACGCTTGGGGGGACCCGAACGAGACTGAGGGGGTCCAAGTCAAACCATCAGCAGCCGAGATGGGTCCGAACGCACAACTTCACGTCACTACTAGCTGCGTCGCGGCTCTCCAGCGATTACGCTTGGCCGAGGCAACAAGGACACTTTGGATTGACGCTATTTGTATCGATCAGTCCAATGTACCGGAGCGTAATCACCAAATGACCTTAATGACCCGCATCTATCGCGCTGCCTCACGGGTGGTCATATATCTTGGGGCGAAAGGTGATGAGGACAACAGCGACGGCGTCATGGATTGGCTGCAGGAAACGTATGCTCCGTCTCGGATAGGAGAAAGGCCAGCTCACCCTTACCAAGATAACATTTTGCGTTTTTTAAGGCGCCGTTGGTTCACCCGAGTGTGGGTTCTGCAAGAGATCCAAGTTGCGACGGCAGCAGTAGCCATTTGTGGAGAGAAGGAGGTTGATTGGGAAGCTTTCCGGCAGCTGAGCTATATTGAAAAATATGCCAGGATTGAGGACAAGCACGTATCATATACTGCAAGGTCCCTGCTGAGACCCAAAAGCCTGTTTTACCATTCGTGGCGACCACCATATGCTGTGCGGCTTCTGCGACTACTGGAAAGCACGAGAGACTTCGATGCCACAGACCCAAGGGACAAGCTATTCGCCATCTTACCACTATTGGACTGGGAATCACAGGAGCATCGAGATGCCAACCCAAATGTTAATTCTATTGAAGACCAGCCGATATCTGATGTCGGTCGAGCTGACTACAGTCGCTCAGCAGCAGAGATTTTCACGCAGGTTTCTCGAAATTTGATCGACGCTATCGGCCTTGACGTTCTCCGAACTGTCATTTCCCCCACAGGAATCCCGTATTTGCCGTCTTGGGCAACCGATTGGGCCAACAAGGATATGTACTATGATACTGGGCCAAATGAGCGTGGAAGAAGAGGATATGAGCAGATGATTAGTGGTTCGCTGTACGAACGTGATGCAAGATCGTCGCGGTTTGTTGATGTGAAAAGGTCAAAAGACCATGCACAGCCACCAGCTTGGTCTTTTTCTGATTACATTTCTTCCGAAGGACTAGCAAACACTCAGCTTCATATCTGTGGGGGGTTGATTGGGAACATACTCAAGCTTGGCGAGCAGTGTGACATTCACGAAAACAAGTTTCCACTGCAGCAGTGGGAGAGTCTGTGCGACCCGATTCATCTAAAAATGAGAGAAGCTCCTCTCACGGGCTGGAGGAAGCCTGTATCGCCATTTGTTGAAGTTCTGTCAGAGGACACTGGCATTGATAAATTTGTTTATTGGTTGATGGGGAGGATCAAAGAGCTCATGTCCGAGCAACTGCACAAAGGTAATTGTGGCTTCAAGCCCGCCAAACGGCCCGGAATGCTCACTGTATACAATCGGAATGTAGGTACAACACAAGAGTTGGGCACGAAGACGCCGCTGCTGAGACGTATTCTCAGGGGACGCGGCGGCCCACCAGCAACCATAGAAGAACAGACTGCGGCCTTTTTGAGCCGTGCTCATGGTCGAAGATTCTTTATCACGAGCACCGGACTAATTGGACTTGCGCCTGGTGCCGCAAAAGTGGGAGATCAAGTAATTGGAATTGCTGGCTCCACGGTCCCCTTTGTGGTCAGACCTCTGGAAAGTCATGCGAGGGCCTTCCAGTTGGTGGGCTTCTGTGTATCAGAGAGATTGTTGGATTCTGTGGGCACATATGAGGATATGCTTATTCAATGAGGTTCAGGTGACGGATTCCGAGGACATATCCCGCGAAAACCAAGGAATGATGGGTGCTCACCCATTGGATGTCATAGGGGCTTTCTGGCCATGGGGCCGTCTAGAGCACCACCGCCGAGAACAAAGATCGAAGTTGATGTGAGGTGTAAAACGTTAGTACGCATGGGGCCTCGCGGAACGTGGTGTTCAGTTCAGGCAGGTTGAATTGCAATCGAAGACTGGCCGTGTTAGTATGGAAGGTGCAACTGCCATTTTCCTATCAGCAGCTAGTACGTTAGTCAATCACAAGCGTCTGCAATGTGTTATCCTAGTCGTACAGTGTCAAGTAACGCGGCAGGATCTATTTAGCCTCATGATCGAGATCGAACTGTGCGCCCGAATTCGTCGTGACTCGGATGCCAAACCACACCGAGTGAGGTAATTGGAGAAGATGGTCTGCGGCGACTGCAACTCAAGAGGCACTCGCATACCAGGTCGGAACATGAGTCGCGACGTCGCCTAGAGCAAGAAACGCTCAGCTTGATGCCATCTCTCGAATAGGCTCATTTAAGCACCGCTCGCGTCGGGGGTCCCCTGCGGCGACAGGGCTGAGAGAAGGTGTCAAGTCAGGTACCAAGAGCAGCAGATCTGATAAGGCTGTCGAGTTCACCGAATGAGAGAGTGAGAAAGAAAGCTTCATGAAACGCCGCGCCATTCAGTTGCAGAGCATGAATGAAGTGGGAGCCTACGCGTCGCGTCTCATGAGCGTGGCAGGGATGCGGGGGGTCTTCTGGGCTCTCAGGCTCATGTGTGTTGACGGCTTCACTCTCATCTCATGTAAACAACTCTTAGTGTGAAACCGTTTGACAAGCTGTCACTCGTGGTCTTTAAGAAATGCTATGAGCATGGTTTCAATATGAAGGGCCGAAAATCATATTTAGATCAGCGCGCACCCCTCTCAGGATTCTCAGGATCAAACGACGTGTGGGAAACGGGCGATCATCAATGTTAAACTCAAACCTGCCGATTTGCCGCGTCGCTTATCGAGGCACAGCCAGTATTACCAGTATCACCTCAGTAAAGCAGCAGGAAAAAAGGGGGCAAGAGTCGCTCAATTGCTCAAAAGGATCGCGGCAGGAAAGTGGGGTACGTATCATCTCATGTCATCCCTGGCCGCCCTCCGTCCTTTCACCTTAAATTTTTCAACCACACACCAGCGACACCACCCACCACCACCCGCCAAGGCTGAATGGAACCTGCCGGCGCCGCTTTTAAGTGGATTACAAATCCGCACGTTGGTTTGCACTTTTGATGCGCCCCTGCTGCTGTTCAATCTCGACTGCACTGCTGCGGAACCTAACTGCGGACTGCAGAGTTGCTGCTGACCTGAACCCCCCTTCGAGCCGTCGAGCCGCGCCTCCGCTGCCGCCACCGCCGCCGCATGGTCCGACGACGTTGTTGACGACAACTTGACCAACCGTACGCACCTGATTTGGGACCTTGCAGTGCCTGGAGAGACGCTGGTTCTCATAGCGACGCCTCGTCTCACTCACTCTCGTCTCTCTCATCGATGACATATCCACACCACCACCTCAACTAACCATCAGAACGACGACGACGACGAAGAACCGCTGCCCGTCATGTTCTCCCGTAACAAGGACCCCTCCCACATGTCGTCGCTCACCGGCCTCCGGTCGCGCTTCAAGAACAGCATGTCCTCCTCCGCCAAGATCCGCTCCTCCGAGGGCTGCTGGACATGCCGCCTGCGCCGCAAGAAGTGCGACGAGGCCCGCCCCGTCTGCGAGGGCTGCGCGCAGCTCGAAATCACCTGCCACTACTCGGAGACGAAGCCCGACTGGATGGACGGCGGCGAGCGTCAGAAGGAGATGGCCGACCACCTCAAGAAGCAGGTCAAGGTCCAGGCCAACAACCGCCGCGAGCGCAAGTATCTCCAGTCCCTCGACGTCGACGCGGGGGCTGGTCACCAGCACCGTCATGACGACTCGGACCCCGACCTCATCCCCCCTGTCCCGGCCCTCAGCGCCGACGGGGGCTCATCAAAAGAGACAAACTCAACCTCGCCGTCGACCGTCCACGACACCCCCGGCGACGCCTCCAGCCCGTATCACATGGAAACCGTAAAATCCTCAATCTCCGAGATCGCTCCCGGCGCATCTCCGAACCACGCCCGGCAACACACCCCGGACTGGAACGCATCCACCCACTCCAGCCCGCCCGCCGCCGCACCACACTCACAACAACCGGCACACTCACCGGCACCGGTCCTCGCCCCGGACCTCAACCCCACAACCCCCTTCCCCGACGACGCCAACCTCGGCTTCATCATGATCTACCTCGACTACGTCTTCCCCTTCCTCTTCCCCTTCTACAAGCCCGCCCTCCTCGAGGGCGGCCGTGGCTGGCTCCTCAACGTCCTCAACCACAACAAGGCCCTCTACCACACCGCCCTCTCCCTCTCCTCCCACTTCTTCGGCGTCGTCCTCAACGGCGCCCAGGTCGAGCACACCCCCTGCCGCATCCGCTCCGTCGCCTCCCTCCAGCACCAGCTCGACCTCGCCCTCAAGGAGCTCCGCGCCGACATGGCCCTCATCAACGAGGCCGGCGACCCCTCCACCCAGCTCCAGCAGTCCTGCCGCGTCCTCGAGTCCATCGTCCAGCTCCTCGTCTTCGACGTCACCCTCGCATCCAACGACCACTGGCAGATGCACCTCGACGCCGCCACCATCGTCTTCACCCAGATCCTCCCCACCACCGACGCCTGGGACGCCACCATGCAGCAGATGGCCATCCCCCTCCTCCAGGGCGTCAACTTCCCCCCCGGATCCCACAAGCCCTGGTCCTCCGACCAGGCCGCCCTCCGCTTCTTCACGGCTTCCCTCCTCTACTTCGACATCATCTCCGCCACCGCCCTCGAGCGCCCCCCGCGCCTCCAGAGCTACCACGCCTACCTACTCTCCCCGCGCAAGGAGTCCGCCACCTGCCTCGAGCAGGAGCCCCGCCTGCGCCTCGAGGAGTACTTCGGCTGCCAGTCCTGGGTCCTCCAGCTCATCGGCGAGATCGCCGCCCTCGACGCCTGGAAGAAGGAAACCCGCCGCGCCGGCTCCCTCTCCATGACCCACCTCGTCTCCCGCGCCGGCTGCCTCGAGCTCGCCCTGCGCGAGGGGATAGCCTGCATGGACAACGCCTGCCCGCAGCTCCTCGGCTCCTCCGAGCTCGCCTGCGCCGCCGGCTCCTGCGCCCTCACCGACGCCAACCGCCCGCCGCCGCACCCCACGCACGCCGACACCACCCGCCTCCCGCCCGACCCGCTCACCCTCTACCAGAGCGAGCAGGTCCGCGACACCCGCTCCGCCGCGCTGATCCACACCAAGATCTGGGCCTATGCCGCGCTCACGTACCTTTCCACCGTCGTCTCCGGCTGGCAGCCCTCCTGCCCCGAGACCGCCACCAGCGTCACCGCCACCATCGAGCTGCTCGACTCGCTGCACTCACCCGTGTGTCTGCGCACCGTCGTCTGGCCCTTTTGCGTGATCGGCTGCCTCGCGACGCCGGCGCAGGAGCACATGTTCCGCGAGATGGTCGGCAAGATGGGCGCCCTGGAGGTATTTGGGAGCATCCGCGCCGCGCTGGGGGTGATGGAGAACGTGTGGGCGGGGCGGGATAACATCGACGAGACGTGGGATCTGGCGGCGTGTTTCAAGGTCCTCGGACACCCTGTGCTGCTGACGTGATTTTTGACTGGTCTGGCGTTGATGTTTTGCTTTTGAAAAAAGATGTTACGAGGATACCAAATGTACATGTCTTTCACTTCCAGGCGTTTTGGATTTCAGCAGTGGTGCCGGCACGGCAGCCGTTTTTCCACGATTAGTTTCAACCTCATCACTTTGCATAACAAGAAGCTCATTTCCCGGGTTTATTTTTCATTTTTATTAAATGACGGGCATCAATCCCGCATGTTCCTGAACGCCATCATAACAAAAGTGCCAAGCCAAGATCTATCTACGCAGTAGACATTACCCATTCCCAAGTGTTCCCAATCTGATTATCCCAAACCCCAATTTTTGTGTTCGTCCAATCAAGCCTTCCTAGAAGCAGCCCTCATAAGACTCTTCTTCCTCTCCTGCTCCAACAGCCCCAGATCCCACCACCCGTCAATGAAATGCATAATCGTCCGCCTCTTCGACTTGATCCTCTCCAAAGGCGACTTTGGAGTAGTAGGCGAGAGCGAAACCCCCTTGTCCTTGGGCGACACCGGCGACAACAAGCCCAAGCCCCCCTTATCCTTAGTAGACACCGGAGACAACAGTCCCCGGAAACCCCTCTCCTTGGGAGAAGGAGCAGCAGCAACAGGCGAGACCGTCTCGGGCAGCACAGGCAACGGCTGCACCGCCACCCGTCCCTCGACAATCTTCACCTTCCGAACCGGCGCCGTGGGAGGCGGCGGGAACGACGGCCTCTGGGCGAACGACCCCAGCGGCTTGACGAACTCCCTCTGGTGCTCCGAGTCGGAGTCCGAAGAGGAGTAATCATCATACACACTGCGGGGTTTCTTCCCCAGCGCCGCGGTCCCCAATGCCGTCGCCGCCCTGCCCCCTCCCCCGCGCACCTCCCTGACCGGGGGCGGGGGGAAGTAGACAGGCGCAGCGGCGGCATTGTAGCAGCCGCGCCCCTCACGGCCGCACCTTCAGTTCTCAATGTCCTTCGGGACGGAGACGACCTTGAGGCGGCGCCAGAGGCAGACGGCGGTGATGGCGGAGAAGGCGAAGAGCACGCACAGCGCGATGGAGAGGCCCCAGACGGCCTTGACGGCGTAGCAGGTGCGCTGGTCGGCGCCGACCCAGATGAAGTAGTTGAGGGTGGAGGAGGCACCCGAGTTGGCGATGACGGAGGTCATGAAGGTGGCGGTGCTGCCGGAGGAGGGGAGGGCGGCGCAGTTGAGGTAGGAGAGGGGCTTGCCGAGGGTGCAGGCGACGACGATGACGGCAACGAGGAGGGTGGAGTCGAGGGCCGTGGCGAGGAGGAGCGGGAGGAGGGAGTCGTAGTAGAGGATGTAGGAGATGACGATGTAGAGGGTTGCGATGCAGGACTGTTTTGGCGGTGGTGTTAGTGGGCGGAGAGAGGCCATGCGGGGGAGAGGAGGACTTACAACTACCAGAGTCCCGATCAGGACGCTCGGGCTCGAGGCGTCGGCGGCGTTGATCTCGGAGATGAAGTTGCTCGTCATGCCGATGATGGCGATCAGGCTGGCGAACTGCATCGCGCGCATGGCGGTGAAGGTGTGCCCGAGGGCGCCGAGCTGCGGGGCCGAAGGCATCTTGCGGAGGGAGGCGGGGGTGACGAGGGAGAGCTTCGGGCGTTGGCGGAGGGCCGTGCGGGTCGGGAAGCGGCGCGGCGGGAAGGGGATGCAGGCGGCGGCGGAGGAGGGGGCTGAGGAGGTAATTTTGAAGGTGTTTGGTGAAAGTCGCGTTGTGTTGCGACTTATGTTAATGTGTTAAGAAAAGTGAAGAGACGTGTTTGAAATGACTGAGATGGTTTTCGTGAGGTGCGTTTTGGCGTCTTGACGAAAGAGAGTCGTTGGCTGTTTTGTCGAGTCTTTGCTTCGTTTCGATTCGTTCTTCGTGAATGAAAGATGGCTGATAAGTGTCGAAGGAAAATCCGAATTGAAACCGAGAGACCCAGAGATAGGAAATTGACCTAGGAAAGAGAGTCAAGGAAAAAAGAGAGAGAAAAAGGAAAAAGAAAGAAGACCTTGTTCTGTGATGATTGTTTGATGCTGATGATGAGAGGAAAGAAAAGACCGCTTGACTCCGGATGGCATTGGTCTGCTTTATACATCTGGGACATCGACACTCGATCACTCAAGACCTCAGGCCCAGACTCTCCAGCCCTGCTTGTTGATGCGGTGGTGTGTTGGTGCATGCATTGTTGTTCGTTGCCCCAACAGGCCGGCGTTGCTAATTCCAGCAGACGCGTTCTAGCCTCTCTTGACTCCATGAGATGGATCCCAGACTCGTGCCGTACGGTACCTGCATACGTAGAATAGACGGGGACCTTGGACCGGACCACAGACGACCCTGCGGTGCCCTGCGCGGACGAAGTGCAGTTCGGCTAGGTATGATGAGCCGCCGGGATGGACCAATGAGATGTCCGGACCGGGGTTGCGGTGCGGCGCTTAGCGGTGGAGAGAATTGAGAGCAGGTTGGACAAGCGACGCGGTTACGACGGCCACCTACATTGCATACCCTACCTTGAAGTTTCAATCCATGACGCCAAATCTATGGATGTCTTGGTATCCGAGCAAAAATAAGGAACGGTAACGGGTCGCCCTGGTGGAGAGGCAATAGGCGCGTCCAATGGCACGTCGAACCAGCCATGGGCCACACCACCACCGCGTCTGTTTCGACCACTGCAGTCGGGCAGCCGGGGTTGATTGGGTCTGCTTGCACCCGGCGACTATGGCCTCGGCCTAGCTTTGACTTTCGGTGGAGTCATGATCTTCGGACCTGCCTCTGTGCCCGGCTCTGCAAAGATAGAGGGCCGTCATCGAGGCCGCTGTGGGACCACGGGCTGGAGGCTGAGGCGCCTGTTCATACAGCCCATCGCGGATGCAACGATTCAACACCTGAAACGGCCTGGCGGCTGGCGGCCCGGCCGCATGTCTTAGCCGGGGAATGGTTCATTCAGACGGCCTCTGTCCTGGGCCGTTGGGACTGATGTATGCAGCCAAGATTAGATGGGAGGTGGTGTCCTTCGTAGAGCCTCATGCCCGGGAAGCCAGCCATTGGCTCCGAGTAGGCAACGCGTTGCTTTGATCGGCTTGCTCTATGTTGGGAACTTGCATTGAAAGGCTAATGGATGAACGTGTTGGTGGTCTGGACTTGGTTCGATCGTCTCCCCACCTGCATCGGAGTGTGGGCGCATGAGGCTGCTTGTCGGCCGCAGAGGCTGTGAGGTCCTGTAATTGTAATGCCCGAGTCAACAAGCGCATGAGTCTCTAGACGCGTTAGACATGGGCTGCTTTCCTGCCCGGTGATGTCACAATGTGAAAAATCAGGAGACGAATGGATCGGTAGTGATTCGCTTTGAAATTCAGTTAGATGTTCATATGTTGCAGTCTTTTGCGCGCCAGTACGCCCTGTCTAGTAGCCTACCGGCATGTTGCCTTCTTCACCTCACCTGGCGCCCTCTCTTCTTCAACAAAGGCCAGGTGCCGCGAAAAGACTTTTCTCCCCGTCTCCGTCATTATACTTGCTTAACCGAGCAAGTCGTCCAGGCCATGGTTGCCGCCAGAGGAAGACCCGGCAGCAGGCTTGGGAGTAGAGGAAGCTGCCGCGGGGGCCCCCCAGATACCAGCGCTGCTCTTCTCCTTGGCGAGTTGCCCCATGGCAGGGCCAGCGGTGGGAGTGCTCGTCTTCTTCACACCAACACTGGCCTGAGACCAGAGGGCACCAAAAGCATCACCTCCAGCAGCTGCAGGCTTGGCAGCAGGAGTCGAGGCAGGCTTCGACGCAGCCATAGGGGAAGCGGCGCCAAACGAGCCTCCCGTGTTTTGAGCAACAGGCCCGGACTGGACAGAGCCAAAGTAGTTGGGCCCTGAGGGCTGGTAGCCAGAGGGCTTGGGGGCCTGGGCCGCAGGCGACGCCACAGCGGGAGTGCTGAAAGCCGAGTAGTTGGCGCCGCTCGGGGCTGGAGACATGGACGACATGCTGACCATGTTGCCAATGTTGGCCTGCTGCGGCGCAGATACAGGCTGAGGGGCGGCAAAGGTAGTGGCAGAGGTAGCGGTCATGACGGGAGGGGACAGAGGTGTAGCTGAGGCAGCAGCAGGGGCAGGGGTGGCGGACTGAAAATCGTCGAACTCGTCGTCGTCGTTAGCGGCGGCGGGAGCTGCGGACAATGAAGCCAAGCCAGAGCCATTGGAAGCTGTCGGCGCAACGGGGGCCGGCATCGAGGATGGCGCCGGGTCGTCAAAGGAGAAGAGATCAACTTCCGGCTCCTTCTTCTTGGGGGGCTCGGCCTTGGGTGCGGCCGCACGCTCGGGTCTCTTGGACCGAGACGCCGAGGAGCTGGCTGCTGGCCTGTCGGCAGGGTCGTCAAACTCATCGTACTCCTCAAACTTGTCGCCGTGTGCCTGTGTCCTTCCGTAGTCGTTGCTCTCCTGTCCACCAAAGCCGCCACCGTCGCCGTAGACACCTCCAGAGTATCCGCCGTAGCCACCCGACTCGCTGCCGAAACCGCCGTATCGACTGCCGCTGCCGCTCGAGAAACCTCCACCGAGACCCATGCCACCCTCTACACCAGTGTACTTATTCTTGGTCGCGCGCGCCTTCTTGCGCTCCGATCGGATTCGTTCGACGTCGCCCAGGAGCTCGGCCAGCTCCTTGGCGCGGTTTCGCACATTGATTCCCTGGTCCTTGCCATTCTGGTCGATGAAGTGGAACTGGCGCAGCATCTTGAGCAGTGTGATGTGGCCACGGGCGTCGTCAATGACACGCTCGGAGCCATGCTTGATAAGGAATTCGAGAAGCTGGAGGGCCTTGTAGATTTGTCGCCATTCCTCGGCGGACTTTTCTGTGAATCGGCGGTAAATCATGGGCATGATCTCGTTGAGGGTAGCGCTTGAGGACGTTAGCGTCGCGTATTGGGGTGGGTTGAACTGTGGTGATGTACTAATTGAAGGTGCCGTTCGCGATCTCCTGCATGATGCTGGAAGATGCGCCCCAAGGTTCGTTGTTGGTGGCTTCGCGAACCTGTACATGTCAGATGGCGTTTGCCATTGTCCGGTTGATGCCACAAACCTTGGCCTCCATTTCTGTGTAGTTCATGACAGCTAGTAGACGGTCAGCACCTAAGCTCTGGGGGCATCGCGATCGGGATAGCTGTCTTTACCATTTTGGACCTTGCGGACACCGGCCTTGACGTCGTACAGGGTCAGGTTGGAGACCTGGTCTTTGAGCTGGTTCCAATCCATGGCGGCGGAAGTAGCAGCAGCGAATAAGGAGATTGACGATGGCAACAGAGAGCTGGCAGACGGCGCTGTCGAAATGCAAGATGTTTCCCCTGGTGTTCTTTGTGACGACGTTTCAAAGCGAGATGCGCGGCTGCAAGCAGTCCTGGCCACCCTGGAACTTTCAGGCTCAGGCTCAGGTCGGTCTCGGACGGCGCGGCGGCAGGGGGGTACGTACCTCGATTAATTGGCAGTGGTCCTTCCAATGAGATTGAATCAGCCTGAGGAGGGAAAAGGACGGGAAAGGGGCGACGGGTCGGAATCACGTGTGATGAGGTAAGCAAGCATCCGCGGGAAAGAGCAGTGAGGAAGGCGCAGATTGGAAAGAGGGAAGCAGCTCTCCCCCAGTCAGGCCAACGGGGATGTTGCGTCGGAAAAGCTGCGGTTTGGCTGAGGTGCAGCTCGATCCGGAACAGCCAGTGTTTCTCGACGCGTTATTCTCAGGACATATTGCGTACTTTTGCTCAATTAGGTTTCAGCTCCTTCCAATTCGATGATGAGGAAGAAGAGGAGATGCCAGTGCAGAATCAGAGTTCTTGCCTCAAAGGCTGCGGCAGGTTGCAGGGCGGACACGAGCTGACAGCTGAAGGAAGAGCTGCCTCTTGCCGCGTCTCCAGCTTAGCAGGAGCTGTCGTGGCTTCCTTCCCGCTGCCGGCAGAGCTCCGAGTGCCCACAAGCTGCCACAGCGGCTGCCACCTGACGCTTAGACCGTGCCCAATGGTTGCCACGTGCCAGCTGCCAGCTGCCGGCCGCCATCTGCCAAGCTGAGACTGGTCCCTCTCGTTGGTGCAGGTCGTTCCTCAGGCTGCGTGTCGTGCCGTCGGTCCCTGACCTCACCAAAACTTTTCCCCGGCCGCACCACGTAGAAAGACAGATTCTTTTCCATCAGCAGCATCAGGTCTTCGTCTCTGGTTCCTGTGTATCACCAATCTCCATCCCTTCGCTTCTGTACCTGTACCATTTCCAAACGTGTAGTCCTGCTCATTGAGGTATGTGGAATGGTTCTTTTCGTCGTCTCGCAGCGTTTTCTCCTCAAAGCTCCCATTTGCACATGAAAGCTCCCAAGCACACAAAATTCAGAGCACCACGGAGCTGGCCAGACGGCTAAGGCGGTTTATGCAAGTCGACTGAACTGTCAGATTCAAGTCTGTGGCTTTTCCTCCAGCTCCCCCAGCTCCTTCGTCCTGCACATCTGGCCCCCGGCCTGAGCTTCCCAAGCTGGCCGGCATCTTGGACAGCTCCAAGCATGGCTGGCTGGCTACGTACACCGGCGGTGACAGTAATAGCAGTAGCAGCGGCAGCAGACCAGGCAGAGAGAGAGAGAGGGAGGCATGGCCTCCGGGCAACATGACACAGACGCCGAGACGAACGAATGGTGCAATCGCCTCCTCATTGCCATTGTCGATGCCGATTCACTCTCTTCCCGGCTCGGCTTGTCTGTCCTATCGCGTCGTCTTGTCTCGTCATGGTCTGTCCACCGCTGTTGCTGCTGTGCCATCCACCCCGTCTGCAGACCTGGAGGTACAATGCGAATGCGCAGTCCGCAGTTCGCAGTCCGCAGCTCACCGCGTCCAACCCCATCCCCGCTTCTCAGTCCCAGACCCAAGATTCCACGAGGTTCCGAAAGTTGAAGGGTGTCCAGGGCAACGTGGGCCAGTGGGGGACGGTGACTTGGCCAACGAGTCCCAGCACCTGGTCCGTCGACCGCGACTGGACGTGGAGTTCCCAGCTTGCTGTCTCTGTCTTTCCCCTCCCCTGCCCTCTGTCGCTCCAATAGGCATTGCCTTTGGGGTTTTGACGTGCATCCGCCTGCTTGAACCTGTACGGCGCCGGGGTACCAATGGCTCTGCTGGCTGGCTGGGTGAGCTCTGCCCGAGAAGAGGTATTTGCCTCCCGCTGTGTCTTTGTTGAGCTCGGCCTTCCAGCGAGAGTTCATCCAGGTACCGGGCCGGATGCCAAGCTGCTGGCAGCGCGTTGCAGGTACATCCGCTGCTGGCCGATGAGACGAGTATCTCGTTTGGGCGCCTTGCGGTCTGGGTGCAGACTCGGAGCCATTCAATCGGCCAATGCTTCAAAGCACTTCCGCAGCTATGTTTTTTTGCTGGGCAATTGATCACGGTCCTCCTCGTCTGGCTGTCTGGCCGACGGGTTGCGGGAATGGTTGAGCTCTGCCATTTTCCCTGTCTGCAGCTTCTCTCTGCTTCCTCGCTGAACTAGGCCAATTGGGGCAGTGAGGGGTGGTGATCTGATGAAGTCATTCCCCTCAATGCTCGGCCAGCTCTTGGACACCGGCCACCCAGCAGACCAGAGTCCAGACTCGAAGCTGAGGCAAAGGAGAAGCGAGGAAGAAGAAAAACAACCCGAGCAGCAGCCGCCAGTGTAAGCGCAGCAGACGGTCAACAGACGGAGGTGCCGCCTCACTCCCGTCACGACCCAATTGCCCCTCGTTCCTTCCCTTTTCTTTCCGTCCGTTCCCTCCCTCACCCCCGCCGCCGCCGCCGCCGCCGCCACGTCCCTTCTTGCCTTCCACCCCCGTCGCAACCACGACGTCAAGCACACAAAGTGGAGGTACCTACCGCCGAAGATTGGCAGGTACTCCCTGCCTTGTACCTTCTCCCAGTGATCTCAGCAACAGCTGACTTCACGTGACTGGATACGTCCCTCTTTGCCCCCATTCTGCGCTTTCTGATTGGCTGTTTCGGCACCCGCAGTGGGGAGCTCCTGCGCTAACAATAAACCCCTCCACCAGCTGTTGAAAAAATGAGACCAACCCTTTTGCGACCCCTCCTACCCCGCCATAACCTCGCCTGCTTCTCCGTTTCACCCTCGCCCTTTTCTCGACCTTCCACCCTCATCAAACCTCTCCGTGCAACTCCTCTGTCTGCATCTACCACCAAGCCATCCGTCAGATTCTTCTCAGCATCCAACATCATGTCTGGTCCCCAGGTGTAAGTTCTCAAGCCCTCGACGATGCCTTTGCGATGCTCTACGCAAGCATCGCAAGCTGTCAATGACGCCATACTAACAATGCTGCTGCAGTTACTTCGACATCGAGTGGGAGGGTCCCATCCTCGACGCCTCCAACAAGCCTACTAAGGACGTCCAGGGTAAGAGCTCCCTTCTTCCATCAGATCCCATCATGAACCATCATCGTTCCTGATTTGGAGGCCACGGGCATCTCAATGCTTCACTGCAAAGCACTGTCCGCGCCGTCAAATCACCCCACCTGAGCCCAAACTTTGCTCCCCCCAACCCCTCGGCAACGACCCCGCTGCTGTTACTGAGCTCTGCTGACCAACTTCATCAACAGTCCAGAACGGCCGCGTCACCTTCAACCTCTTCTACGACGTTGTCCCCAAGACCGCCGAGAACTTCCGTGCTCTCTGCACTGGTGAGAAGGGCTTCGGCTACCAGGGCTCTTCTTTCCACCGCATCATCCCCGAGTTCATGCTCCAGGGTGGTGACTTCACCCGTGGCAACGTACGTCTCCTTCCCCATCTCCAAAAGCGAGACAGTTAGCTCACACTTTCCAGGGCACCGGTGGCAAGTCCATCTACGGCGAGAAGTTCGCCGACGAGAACTTCCAGCTCAAGCATGACAAGCCCGGTCTGCTTTCCATGGCCAACGCCGGCCCCAACACGTAAGCCACCCGTTCCTCCCATCCTCCAAACCCAGTCTAACAGTGTTCCAGCAACGGCTCCCAGTTCTTCGTCACCACCGTCGTCACCTCTTGGCTCAACGGCCGCCACGTCGTCTTCGGCGAGGTTGCCGACGACCAGTCCCTGAAGATCGTCAAGGCTCTTGAGGCCACTGGCTCTTCTTCCGGCACCGTCCGCTACGGCAAGCGCCCCACCATCGTCGCCTCTGGCCAGTTGTAAACTGCCCCTCGCTCGTGCTTTGTACGTTTAGGTCCAACACTGCCAGTTAGTAGTCTCGAGAGAAGCGAAAGCAAGCAGGGGAAGATGGAGGTTTTGGTGAAAACTTGGGAAAATGCGCCTTCGCGCGTCTTGGCGTGGTTCAGCATCACTGCTGATAGTTAGCAAGCCAAGACAAAAGTTGCTGCCATATGTCTGTCACCATGTCTACTGTGATTCGTGAATGTCATCCACACACATCAGCACCTGTCAACCGCTTTAGCCAATTGCTCAGTTACCATGTCAAATACAGGATGGTATATTCCACAGTCATCCCGACTGCCAAAACTATTCCGCTTGGGAGGATTAAAAGATTCTACCTCTGAACCCGTACCGCCCGTGTCCTCTTTTTGTGCCAACGCCAATGCAATGCTGCCGTGATGCGAAATCAGTCCCAAAAAGCCTAGCGACCTCCCCTCCAGCCCATAAAAGCGTCTTTTCCTTCTTTTCTTTCTCTTCACCCTGGATCACTCCAACCCCAACCACCGCTGGAAATACACGCAATTGCTCGCGTTGACCGGCCCGCCCTCCTCGCAGAGCTCAAACACGGGACACCGCCCGCACGGCGCCTCCGTGAACCCGTTGACGCGCGGCTCCGGCCCGCCCTCGTCGGCGCCGCCCTCCTGCCGGCCCGCCCAGCCCTGCAGGCTCTGCCGCGGCGCCCTGCAGACGCGGTACCCCGTCCGCCCGGCCACGCGGACGGGCTCTACGAGGCCGTCGAAGACCAGGACATCGATCAGCTTCTGCACGTCCTCCTCGCCGAGGATTGTGTCGGTGGTAATGCCGGTCTGCGAGATGAAGCGCGCGATCTCGCGCACGGTGGGGTACTCCTTGAAGCCGGCCGGCAGGGGCAGCAGCGCGGGCTCGCGCTTGGGAGGGGGCTGCTGCACGGCGGTCTTATCGTCGCTGTCGCCGCCGGAGATCTCGCCTGCGGAGCGCTTTTTGCCCTTGTTCTCCAGCCCGCCCTTGAGCACGCCCTTTTTCGGGACGGCAGTGCGGGTGGCGGAGGAGGAGGCGCCGGTGCTGTGGTAGGTGCTCTTGCGCTTGATCTGGTCGAAGATGACGCGCTGCAGGTCCTCGATGAAGGCCTCGTCGAAGGCGGAGTCGGTGAACCAGGGCCCGCCGGTGGCGCGCTCCGAGGGGCGCATGGAGGCCTTGATGAACATGCGCTTGTTGGGGTGCTCGACGTTCTTGAAGGGGGCGATGAGGCCCTTGCCCTGGAGCTGTTTGAGGGCTGTCTTGAGGACGGAGTCGTGCATGTTGAGGCGGTGCTGGATTGTCTTGGACCAGATGCCGTCGCCGCCTGCTTCGTCGATCGCGCCGTAGACCATGCGCTGTTCGTCGGTCGAGCAGAGTTTGTACCTAGAGGGTGAGGCATGTTAGCTCGTGAAGCAATAAGGTGGGAGGAGAGTGGTGGTGTTGGGGGCTTACTTCTCTGCATCCTCCATGGAGCGCCATCGCCAGGCGAGGCCCGTCTGGGAGGAGACGGCGATGAGGAGGCGGTCATTTGTGAGGCTCTGGAGGACCTTGAGGAGGGTGACGGTGTCGCGGTTGGGGATGATTTCGAAGTCGAGGATGTCGTACTGGCTGAAGAGGTGGTTCTCGTCACCGGCCTTCTGGAAGGCGTCGTAGAGCGTCTCCTTCCAGACCTCGAGCTTGGAGTCGGTGCTCGAGGTCGTGGCGGCGGGGGAGGGGGCCGCTGGGGTCGTAGCCATTGCGACGGCCGGGTTTTATGTGTATTCTTGTGGCGATCGCTGGTTTATTCGAGCGTGTCGGTTTGAGGGGGGTTAGAAGAACGTATCCTCGTGGATATTCGGAGAGGGTTCCTGGCGAGAGGACGAAGGCGAACGGAGATTCGTGGTGGGGGTGCCCTTTTTCCTCGTAGATTTCTTTTTTCCGCCTGGGGAGAAGGAAGCCGGCTGGCGTCGTATGCGCCAAAGAAGTTTGCGGTCGGAAAGGTTCGTTGGGTGGAATTGCTACATTTGCGAATTGACTAACAGGCTAAAGCGAAAAATGAGCTCGAGGTCACGAATCGAAAAGCATTGGGCGGTTTGGGGTGGTGCAGCTGCAGCTTGATGGCTGGCTTCCGGGTTGGGGAGCGTGAGATTTGGGCGAAGTGACTTGGGTCGGCGACGATGCGGGATTGGATTTGGGAGGCGCATCAGAGGTCAGGTCCGTTCGGCGGCAACTCCCAGCGCTGGTGCTGCAGGCAGCTGCGGCAGACGGCAGCAAAAAAAAAAAAAAAAAAAATTGCCCCGCAGTGTCTGGAAAGGGTCTTCCACTCAATTGCAGGTCCGTCTTCAGCCTTGCATTGGTGCCGGATGAACTGCGGGAAGGGGAATGGAATGGATGGACGCTGGGGGAGGCCTGTTTTGGGGGTGGAGATACGTTCCGGTTTGGTGGAGTTGAAGGGGAGATCAACACCAGGAAGGACGGCTTTCTTCTTGCAGTGCTTGTGATGATGTGCAAAGAGATTACGAACGTCATCAATTCGATTTGGTCGATTTCTGTGTCCTGTGTTAAGATCGAGAGGGACAAGCCGACTATAGGAAGCCTCTTTTAACCGTGTAGCTATGCCCCAATGAGTCACGACTGAGGCCGCTCAAGGTTCATGTAAGCCGAGTCATCCTCCCCCAAACAACGACGCCATGGCTATGCTCTTACATCTATGACAGCTCGTTTCTCATTTCAAGAAACGCCTCTTTCTTTTCGCGCACTTGATAGCAAATTCCCGAAATGTTGACTTATTCTCCAAAAGAAGTTTAGAAGAGAGAAAAAAAAAAAAGATTTCCTTTTTACATTTGTAATACTTTCGACTAAGTTACGGTTTGTGGGCACGTTGTGTTGACTGCCGAATGAATCCAGCGGCAACATTTACGAGGGCCAGGATAGACTGGGAGAGAAATCTCTATGATCAGCTCATAGGGTATCCTGCATGCACCGCACTGCCTAATACTGACTGATAAAAACCGATTTTAGACAGAAATTGAGCTGTCTCTTTTCTTTGGCGGCCATGTAACAATCATGTTATGGTGCCGAACGTGATTGTTCCACCTCACCTTTCAAGTACTGGTGATTTTGCGTTTGGAATAGCTAGCCGTGTTAGTCGCGGGCTTGTCTATGTGGATGACTGCATAACAGCATGGAGCATCCATAACTGGGGAGGGCTTCAAAACGACAGGCTAAATAACAACTGAGGGCACCTCCTCTTTTCTTGTGAGTATTGGCTGAGTTGCGGGACAGGGGACAATGTCACTTCTATATTGAATCAAGCCCAAAATGCAATAGCACAGGGCAACTGAACCTCTCTTCGTCACATTTGAGCACGAACTGGCAACTACTTCTCAGCTTCCTCATGCGTATGGAGATCTCGGGAGCCAAGGACGGTATCTCACGGCATTTCTCTCGGGATCCGAAAGCCTCAGGACCGCCGGTGCATAAAATGGAGCATCGTTTCTCGACTCCGAACAGTTCCTTCCTCCCAGACATCGACACGCTCCCGATTACAAGCTTTCTCACTGACTTCCATCACCAAAGTTCCAACCACCGCGACCATGCAGCTTAGTTTCTCCAACATCATCCTCGGCGTCATGCCAGCCCTGGTTCTCCTCCCAGGCGTCGAAGCCCAATCCGCCCGCTCGATGGGCTTCATCGGCTACTCCATGGCCGAGAACGTCGCCCAGGGCTACGTCGCCGTTGGCGGCACCCGCATGTGGGGGCCCTACGGCACCGGCGGCGCCGTCGTCCAGTCCTGGACCGACACCAACTCGACCTCCTGGAAATCCTTCGACCGCCAGGTCGCGCAGAACGGAAAACCTTCCGCTGTTTTGGTGCAGATTTGCATCTTTTCGCAGAACGGGGCCACCTACGATGAGGTTTAGAAGCTTATCGCCAACGCGCGCCAGCACGTCGCTCCCGGGGCGGAGATCTTCATCACGGGCCAACCAATGTACGACGCTGGGCAGAAGTGCTTCCTCGCGGGGCAGGGAGGCCCGGAGTTGACTGATAATCTGGCCAAGAGGGCTAGCGAGGACGCGTCGCTGAATGTCAAGTACGGAGGAACGTTCCGCCTGCACAATGGGGAAGTTGCGGATGGGTGCCATGCGAATACCGCGGGACAACAGTCTTTGGGACGCCAGTCTATTGGGTTCTGGGGTTGAGATTGACGGATGACATGCAGGAGGCTGGTGAGGTTGTATGCGAGGACCTCGCACTTACATCACGCAGGTCCGAGACACCACCCAATGCAGCGATAATTTAGGGCGAATCTTTGGGAAACTAGTCACACTCCTTACCATAAATTATTGAAATCTACGCCTCAATGAATATTCATTTGACTGCTCATGTAACCCAGAGCTTGACGGTCTTGAGGACCATATAACTTCACTACAGTGCATTCTGACAATTGCTAGCGAGATGTGGTAAATTTCTCGGATGTCGTGCGTACAGCTGAGAAGCCTAACACTAGGATCCAGATGTAATGTTCTGCCTGTCAATTATAGAACGCGCCCAGACCATTTAAATTAGTGGTAGTCCAAGTCAGAGAAAGTTTTGGTAGCCAGCACGGCGTTCGAACACATCGCAAGTCAGGTTATCAACACTGTCTTAGAGAAACCTACTCTGGACGTTCCAAGTATTAGACAGAAAACTTCACACGTCGCAAAATCGTGAATTCTCATCGTTCGAAAGGTGTGCAATGGAGCGTTGCTGGCAGCTTGTGAATAAGGCCAACGTCGGCATAATCCTATCCAATGCCCGGACCCCCTGCACCGGCCGTCTGCCGATGCGGCCGGGACCCATAGCGGCCCCACCCACATGGAAATCTCTTCGCATCGTAGCCCGCTCATGCTACTTCAATGACTCAACCTCAGTCAATCGCAACACCAAATGGCAGATCACCAGATCTGCCCGGCTAGCTCAATCGGTAGAGCGTGAGACTCTTAATCTCAAGGTTGTGGGTTCGACCCCCACGTCGGGCTCAATTCCCGTCCGCGATTGCGCGTTCTCTTTTTTGCTTTTCGAGGTCGGCCCTGCCATTGACGCAGTCAGATCACATCTGTGACTGTCGACTCCTCCCGTGAGCTTTGCAGTCATACTTTCCTAAGTGCTCTCAAGGTCTCACGTCAGCTTCTTATCGAGACAGACAGTATTAAGTCCAGTTTTGCTTTACTGCTGAAATCAACACTGCAAGCATTCATTCATGGATAGTGATGTTTCTGCGTGATCTGCATGCTGACCCTGATTGGCTGATTTAGTTGAGACTAATGCCGACAACCGCCAACGGCAAGAGCTTGAGACTATCAATTTAATGTCGATCCAATCATTACCATGCAAGTCAGCTCCTTGATTCAGCTGTCACGCTGTGATGACACGAAAATCCTCTCCGCAGCGGAGACTCGCCACATCCCGGCTGTAATATTTCCAGTCTTCTTCATGTTTAATTGAATCAAATAACACCACCAAACAAGAGTTGGTAAAAACAAGGGAGCCAAGCCAGAGATGTTTCTCAGCCCATATTGCAGCCTCATCGCACTATGCCTTTCGGGCCGTGTCGCGGCGGATGGCTGGGACGACTTCACCAACAATCTTGCCTCGGACCTCGCTCCCATCATATCCCTCTTCGGAGAGCAGGCGACGAAGCAATACCTCAGCGAGAGCATCACGTGGCTGGACTACTTTATATTCGCCATGGCGCCCATCGGCATCCTCACGGCGCTGGTGTCCGCGATCCGCGTCTGCGGCAGCCCTTCCCTCAAGGCCTTCATCGGCAGAGCAAAGGAAGCAGTGGGCAACGTGGAGGCCGAGCTGCTCTCGTCCACGAGCAGGAACGTGTGCGAACTGTACAATGGTGGTGGCATCGAGCGCATCATCGGTCGTCCGAAGATCCTTGAGGTTGTGCTCGACCGGAACGTCGCTGACGAAGAGTTTACCCGGGAGGGAGGGTCAGCGGGCATCTACACCTTTGCGGACTATGTGAGGAACGAGAATCGACGTCAAGAATGGAAGCCGTGGCCTCATCGCAAGGGCACAGAGCCGTCCAAGGATGATGGGCCAAAGACATCTGAAGAGTATGGGCCGAATCTTTCCCACAATGTCAGCATTAAGCGCCTGGATGATTGGTGGTTCAGGCTCGTGGGAGTGATCGGGTTTGTGCTGCAAGTAGGTGTGTTGGTCTATGCAGCTGCTGCAACCTACTATCTTCGGCTGGAACAGGACGGAGAGCAGCCATCATCGTATGCTTGTCCGATGGTCATTGTGGGAACCATCCTGGTTTGCGGCGGAGTGTTCTTCTGTGCTGTTCTTGTGGGGGAGAGCATCGAGGAAGAGATTTACCAACGCAGACAGGCTTTATCAGAGAGATCCTCTCTGTACTGGTTGCAACCGGCCCAAGTGCATGGCGATCAAACATTTGAGCCATTCTGTTACGCGGACGTGGGAGGCGTCGGCTCCCTCAATCGACATATTACCTCACGGAAGAAGCAGAGCGCCCCTTCAGAGCTTTCTGTATGGCTCGTTGTCGGGTCTAGCGTTTCTGGCTTTGTTCTACAATTTGTCGGCCTCCGCGGGACACACTCGTCGATCTCGTTGGCCCAGCTCGGGGCAGCCTTGATCATGAGCATGCTGAGGGCTGGTCTTCGCACGCAGAGACTGGATTCGCAGGGCAACCGACTTTGGGAGCAAGAAATCAGTGCGATGATGATCTCATCAGATACTCTGAAGGGCCATGAGATGGACTGGCTGGCCCTACACATTGGTCGGGAGGAGGTCAGAAAGGGGCACGGCATGGACCGTAGAGTTCCAAGCATGGAAAAGGGCGGGCGAACGTGGCGGCTCTGTGGCTTGGATATTCCATGGCCTCGTGAGAAGGACATTGAGAATGCCTCGCAATCGGGTGAAACTAACAGCGAACGACGGTCCTGCTCGTGGTTGTTTTTCGGTGCTACGACAGCCGGTGAGAGAATCACACACCACCCATCGGAAGCAAATTCTGGTGGGATTGGACTCAAGTCTTCTGAATCAGTAGAACCCCAAGGCAGGGTGGACTGCGCCAACTGGATTCTGGCCTACCGTCGAACCCTGACCCGACTCACCGAACCAACGACTGCGAAACTCGATCTGGCTGTTTTGACGCGTCACTTCTCAAATGAAATGGTTGCGGTGCGAGAAACGGCAAGGCAGCTTGTCCTGGCGCTTGAGTCAGTTGCCAACAGCGTCTGTTCGTCGTCGACGGCGGTCATCATGGAGGAATGGCGTTTGAAACACAACGACTTATACTGCGCCATGAACTGCGGCGTCTCTCCTCGTGCTGGAGATCAGATTGCCGAGGTCGTACTTCACCTTCGCCGTGGTGGTAAAGAGTCGCGTTGGAGGCTCGAAGGCAAAGAGAACGTGGAGGCTATGCTAGGACTATGGACGTGGTCTCTGATTTCAGAGTCAGCAAGAGATCACTCTCAGCTCAACGCAACCCGAAGAAGGATAGTATCGAGTGTCAAACACCCGGAAGAAGTGGGCTACTACAAATGGTTCAGAAGTGCTGCTACATGCCCTATGAAGCACACTTTGAAAGGGCTGAATAATGACTTTTGCCCTTCTACATTTTGGCTCAACGACCAAGGTAAGCTCATTAACGCGGATCCATCGACAACAACGGGAAACAGTGAAGTTCCCGAGGGTGCATCTTATCAGCTATTTGGATGGTACAGCGGAGAACCGCTGCACCTATCATCCCTTCGGCTCAGTCCGAAATCGACGTCTTTACCCTACCTACGACTTCCGACCTGCTCTCACTTTGCGCCCAGGAGATCCTGGGCACCTTTGTAAAAATTATCCTCGATCTGGTAAAGAGCATCGGCGAAGTTGAGGTGGACGGCACTGCAGACAACGTTTGCTTGAGGAGCCGCCTGGTATCAGAGCTGGCGGAGGCGATCGAGAAAAGTGGCTTGGCGTCTCGCGATGATGCCCTGCTCTGCGTTCTGCCTCCAATAGTGCGCCGAGAATTTGATGCCCAGCGAACGCCGTTGTGGTTCGCTGCTGGGATCGGACATGAAGGGATGGTAAGCGAGGCACTTGGCCAGATCACCGACCGCCATGGATCTAACCTCCCTTTCCTGGCTGGCCCTCTTCTTCAAGCAGCATCAAAGGGTCGCGACAACATCGTCAGGCTCTTGCTGCAGCATGGAGCAGACCCCAACGTGGCAGATGCGTCAGGGACTACACCACTGTGCCAGGCCTCCGAGAATGGCCACGAGCAAGTCGTCAGGGTACTGCTCGAATTTGGGGAGGTAAATTCAAATGTCACGGATCCGTGTGGGAGAACCCCGCTCTGGCATGCGGCGAATAATGGGCACGAACTCGTTGTAATGGCATTGCTCGAACAAGGCGCGAGGCCCGAGAAGGGTGCCAGTGCTCACGGAACGACGCTCGAAAGAGCAATTCATAATGGTCACGACTTGGTGGTCAGAGAATTTCACGCTCATAGCGAGGGCAAAGAAATGGGCTACATCGGGGGAGGAAGGAACTGGGTCAACGATGAAATGTAGGCTTATAGAAGAGTCTGGTTTTGCAATGGCTAACGCGACACAGGATGGAGGGACCTGCTGAACAATACGAAAAGGCCTGTAAAAGCTTCCTCGATTACGTATCTCCGAATAAATTCAAAGACGGAAAAGAACTCGATGACAAAGACGCCATCAAGATTGCTCTTCTCGGGCAAGGCGTTGATAGCGAAAAGCTGCGGATGCATGGTTCAGGTCTGGACCAATACATCTTCGACAAGCAGAACTTCACGAATAAGAGTCCTTCGTGAAAGGGTTTACGTTGGGAGGCAACATTGATATCTCTCATTCACCAATATGGCCCGAAGGCGAAAATCTATGTCGCCCAAGTCACCAACGAGCGCCGAGTCCATCCACGAGACGCGGACCAAATTGTTGAGGTCAGTCAGCATCATCTGCTCTTTGACAAATGCTGACCAGGCAGGCCATTGAGTACGCAATTGAGTCCTGGAATGTTGACATCATCGTCCTGCCCTTTGGGTTCGCGTCGGTCAATCGTAAGATGATGAAGCCCCTGGCCGAGACTCGGAAAATGAACAAGCCAACGATTGTCATTGCTGCTGCTACAACTAACGGGTTCAACTCAGTCAGAGGATACCCGGCCACCAGTCCCCACGTCATTGCAATACATGCGGTTGATGGCCAGGGGAGACATTGCGGTCTTGCTCCGTCCCCGAAAGCTGGCGACTACAACTTCTCTGTGGTCGGCGCCGGGTTAAAAGCCCCTTGGACTAATAAAGAGACAGAAAAGAGCCTTGAAAATGGTAACACGTATACGGCAGGAATTGTAGCGGGCATTGCAGCTTCTTTCCTCCACTTTTTGAGGATATCACTCATCCAGGACGATCCCAGACTCAGTCTGAGCCCTGAGGACCACAGGTGGCTTCGATCCACAGACGGCATGCGAGAGATGCTGCATTTGATGTCGACTCCGATTGATGGATACAGCTTTCTGACGCCATGGGCAGTATTTGGCAAGAAGAGCGAGCCAAAAGATATCTTAGAGATAATCAAGATGACAGTTGATAAAAGACGAGGGAGGGAGGTACGGATGCCAAAACCCAGCGCCGAGAGCAGTCGCAGCTCGTCATGTGACTGAGACAAGCACCTACACATGACAGATGGTTGAAGGCAATGAGGAAAAGAAGCGAAAGACGCCGCATGCACATTGGAAAACTGTAGCTGGAATGAAGCCACAAAACATGTGTCTGATGATAACAGTGTTGCGCAATATCGCACCAAGGTACTTATTGTTTGGTTCGAGATAGCGACCAGTTGAGAGACTCGATTCAATCATTATCGAACGAAACACCTTCATCAAAACGCAAGGCGTCCAAGTCAATCTCCTCCTTGCGTCTCTTGAACACGATCGACATGCTAGGATCAATAAACGAGTTGACGCCAATAATGGTTGGCTTGAACCCAAGTTCATCCCCCAATTTCCAATCGTACTTCAGAAGCAAATGGCACAAGGCTATCTTGATTTCGTGTCCGGCGAAGAAACGTCCCGGACAAGAGTACACTCCGTAGCCGAAGCCGAGATGCTCCGGAGTTAGGGTGATGAGCTGGGCTTTGCTCTCGCCCCCGGCCTGTTCTCGAAGTCGCTTGAAGCGAGATATATCGAACCTGTCGGGATCAGGGTAGACCTCGGGTTCCATCATATTGCAGCAGTGGGTACAAAGGCGATCGCCTCTTCGAATTCTGGTGCCGTTGGGGAGTGTGACGTCTTTGACCGCCACTCGACGTAGTGTTACTAATAAACTTTGTTAAACACGAATGCTGTATGGCTTCCCATCGACCAACTCACACAAAGAGGTTGGCGAGATTCTCTGAGATTCTTTGATGGTGCTATCCAATAGCTTCATGTGGTTTAATGCTGTCTTGGACCAGCCTTCAGCTTGCAAGACCTCGGCCATCTCCTGGCGCAGAGACTTGATAGTTTCCTGATGCTCCGCCAAAAGCAACAGAACTCGACCAAGCAGGTCGTACGTCGTGTGTATCGCGACGAACGAAATCATCAACTGAAACGCGACCGGATCGTACTGCGTTCCCTGCGACTCGGCCTCAGCCCACTCGATGGTGTCGTTGAATACAGGTGCTGGCTTGCCAGCTAATTTGGCCGCCTCTTTGACCTTGCGACGGCTTTCGATAACGGGAAGTAGTATCCCCTCCGCCTCTGCGATGAAGGCCCGTACCTGTTGGCAAGATGGATCGAGTAAGTTGGCTAGCGGTCTTAGAACCCATGGCAGCATGTTAAGCTTGGCTGCAGCGGCAAAGCTGGTCGTTGTGAACTCCTTGGTAATCCTAAGCCATTTCTCGTTGCGGCAAATGTCGGAACCAAGGAACACTCGCGAAGATAGGCGAGCAACGAGCTCCAATAACGCGTCCTTAGCTGGTATCTCTCTCCATCCTGACAAGTCATCAGATGACGGGCTTCATGTTGTAAGGGGGACGGTATCCTACCAGGGCGACTGCCGAAAATCACTTCGGTTGTGAAAGAGGCCTCTGAGGATAGGGGTTCGATGATTGTGTCTATACGCTTGTCATTAGTTTCTTGGAGGTTCTCTTCAGAGGGCCTAGGCTGGAGGCTGAATAAGCCTGACGTACTCGTGTGTTGTGTCAACTGCTTCCGTGCCACTGATTGGAGAATGTGTGCTGGATGCTTCACAATTCGAAAGGCACCAAAGCCTGGGAGATGACGATGGAATTCCTGCTCCAGTTAGCTGCTGCTCTTCCCTCGTGACAGAGAGCTTACCTTTGTGATGGCTTCTCGGAAATCTAGATCTGTCAGGTTACGTAGGTACGCGGCATAGTCAGGGGGAAGAACCGTCACTTCGCCTAGGTCCGCAGACATTCGAAAGGGCTGGCTTGGATGTCTTTCTACCTCCTTTTTGAGCGTTGACATGCCGTTCTTCATAAAGTCAAGTCTGCTCTTGACTCGACGGAATGTAGCCAGGGTCCAGAATGTAACCAGCGCGAGCACAACCACTGCAAGGTAGGGAAAAGGCCACTCGGGCGGAGTTGTGGAAGTCGCCATGTTGGAATTGGCTCGCAGAAACTCAGTTGCAAATGACTGCTGGCGATCTTCAAGATGACCAGACCTTAGACTGGAATCATTTGGCGGACTAAAAGCGAGACGACAGCTCATTATATCACCACGACTCGATTCGGGGAACGGAGCGCAGAAAGTAATTATGTGCGCTCCGCCTTCGTAAAAGAAATTATCCATATTACCAGTAGGGGACCTACCCGAGCCTCCCAACGTGAAAGTTTGTATTCGTGATCAAAAAATGTACCGAAGCCACCAGGTGGTTATGGTTGTCTGTGATGCTTTGCGGTAGAGTTATTTTGTAGGCGAGTGCGCCAAACTCTCTACTTCACCACAGAGACCGTACAAAGTAAGATCCCGGAACTGGGGATGCGTAGAGATGCGATTGGACGCAATAGAGTTAGATAAATAATACGGTCTTGTACGCAGCGCGTGCTGTTTGCCAAACACCGCACGGTCCCGGATCCATGGATAGGAGTATGCACAATGAAGGTATCCATCCCATGAAGTGACGGCACCCATGCTTTGCATAGAGTTTTCGGCACGTCAACTCGGCAACCATAACTGGTCTGCGACAATCGTAGGCGGTAGTATTTTCTGAAGCAGCCCAACGCAGTGCATATGCCCTGAGAAGAAGTTCGGTTGCTAGTTGCGAGTGTGTCGCAATGATTTGTCGGTGAGGATGTGGAAAACACCGCGGCAGATAGGTAATCAAAAGGCCTACATTGCTCGTATGCATCGGCAGCATCTAGGTTTTAGGTATCACGGATTCACACCATCAAGTCTTTTGATTTCTACAATTTCGATACCGTAGCATCAACTTTCTTGTAATTTCTTAGCTGCAAACTTCCAGCCAAAAGAATATGGATCAAATGAGATTCAAATCGGATGGCGTCACCAGGTTGGCAGTGTCATTCATGTGCAAGACGACTGGGCTGTGCTATTCGCTTTATGGTAATATGAATTTTAAACCGAGGTCTTGCAACAAAAGAGTTGTATAAAGCATAAGTATATTGAAAAGCCAAGCAAAGCTAGACTTCAGTCGCGAATTAAAGTTTACATATCACCCAAGATTCTCGCCCACACTTCCTTCTGCCTAAATATGTATGCAACCAGATGCGTTTCCGTGTACTGGCACTCATTCGAATGCTGCGATCTGTATGTGTCCGATTGATATCTTACAAAAGACCAGAGATGGGGATGCAAGGGAGCTGGACAGCAACGAGGCCGGAAGCCTTTGAAATATTTGTCAGGTGATGTTTCTCATAGATATCGAAGTGATTACTCACAGTGTTGCCGTCGGTCTTGCAGCAAGCAACGCCCTGCTTGCACTGGCTGTTCAGAAGGTCGTTGGCGACTGGCAGATGTCAGTATGTGTTAAGTAATGGGCTTAGCAAAGGACTCACTGCCAACTCCGATGGAGGAGCATCCATCAGTCAGCTTCAGGCCACCGTTTCCAAGGACACCGCCCAGGATACCGGACAGGATTCCAGCTCCAGAATTGTCGTTGTTGTTGGTGCTGGCATCGACCTGGTTGCAGCAGTTTACGCTGAGGTCCTTGCCGCAGATGTTCTGAGCATCAGCGACGGTGAGATCGTCGGTTCTCTTGGCGAGGGCCTGCTTAGCAGTGTTGCCGGGAGCGGCGGCGACGGTGAGAGCCATGGCAAGGGCAGAGACGGTGGCAGCGGAGAAACGCATTTTGAAAGATAGAGTTGTTCTGGGAAGATGTCCCTGAAAAGAAGGTGAATTAGAAGGATCAAGAAGGATCTGGGTGATTGTAAGAAGAGTGTAAGATGATTGAATGAGATTGTTGTGTGATGAAGAGGAAGAGAATCTGGTTCTGGAAGGAGCAACAGCCAGATTTTATAGATTTCGAAATAGATAAAAGTAACACTATTGAGGCATCATCTCGACGTGGTAATGCTCGAGCGACATTCCAGCGAGGAGGTCCAGCGAGGAGGTCCAACACCTAGAGATGTCTTGGAATGAACATGATCATCGTCTCCATCAACGGACGCATGCGTCTTCTCATCGACTGTAGCTCATTGTGACAGAAGATTTGCGGAGGGTATCCATCGCCCGTACCCGTCTAGTAAGCCGGTGCGAAGTACCATTCTAGCACTATTACAACAGGAGTGTTGTTCACCAATTCCTATTTCACTCACTTGAGTCCATTCCAAGCATTGGCGTTCTCAGAACGACCATACCAGAGAAACCCCTTGAGATGTGGATCACATATCAAATCGACGTCTGTTTTCTTTTGCACCTGTAGCTACTGAATTACAATCGATATTTATCGAATTCCATATTATAGCGCAGGGGTTGGCACCGAATCCTGCCTCGCCTTTCCAATATCCATACATTGACCGGAATAAGGCACAGTAGCCGGATGAACAGCACATCGGTGTTCCCCACGATCGCAATGCGAACAGACTGAAGATCATAGACGGAACCTCTCAACGCAACTTAGTAGATCACTTTTGCGAAATAACCTCCTACGAGTAGTTTCTCAGCTCAGAGGAGAAGCGGGGCAAGACAGAGGCAAGGGGCGAGATGCCGCCTGAGCTCGGCCTTCACTCGGATCTTTTATGTCTCAGATCCACAAGTAGTAACGAATGCCAGAGGGCTCCTGAAGGCCAAATCCGGTAGCCGTTGGATACCGTCCCTGCCATTATTGCATTAGCTGCGTAGGCCAGCAGCGCTAAAAAGCTGTTGAGACCGGATTGAGCTTGTGGCATGATCGTTCAATACCAATTGGAGAGAACGTTCTACTTGCAGGCCCGGCAGATGAAGGCAATCCGGGGATGACTCCGTCGAATCCGCCGAGACATCATTCCTCGAATTCCAGCCTCTATCTCGACGCCGTGCTCAAGGTATGAAGACATGGACTTGTTACTGTAGTTCTCTCCACAATGCAGTCACGTAAGCGATGACACAGGAAGTTTGAGTAGGATGTTCTCATTAATTACAGTAGCTATAGTAAGTGCAATAAGATTCTGGGTATAGCAAAAATTGTTGGTAGAAATGATCCATCAACCAGGCTCTTGGGGTTCGTATGAACATGCGCAGGTTCGGTGACACGACGAAAGAATGCTTTCAACATTACAACATCTCTGCGCCACGATCCCATGCGGTCATAGTCGATGCGTGTCAATGGCTAGCACTGATCGCCAGACATGGTTGGAATGGGTACGCACGGATGTCCTAATATGACAGGGGCTATTGAAGGGCGTTGACAAAAGTGGAATTGAACACCAGCTTATCCGTACAAAAACTCTGGGCGCAGAGTCAGAATTCTCCATGGTTCAAATCTTTTTCAATTCAGAAAGGATTTAGAAAGGGAACGATCTTCGCTGTCATGATAGCTTCGAAGGAACCAGCCTGACTCTCCTCGTACCAGCCGGTCGTGTCAAGTTCAAATGGTGGATAGAGAACCCACTAACCGGACCTAAGGAAGAAGCAATTATGTGGAAGGAAGGAAGGCTGTCCGCATCTAGTATCCATGGGGACCCTGGATTTTGGTGGTCCTCGGGATAGAATATCGCATGATGCAAAATCTCACCGGCTCTGGGGTAGATGTGATCACCGGGATCAAGTTGCTGTCTTGTGCCAAAACCTCTTCGGTTATGTGGCTCTTTGCTGCCTACACTGAGGTGATGACACGTCGGATGAACAAACAAACTTTGACAGCAATGGTGCGGGCTGACAAGGTACCCGAAGTTTGTTCCGATCGTGCCTTGCTCCGGTGAATTCTGCGCTACCCTTGACCCTCCAAATATTTTGACGACTTCCATTCTTTCGGGATAGTCTTGAGCAACTCAATTGGTATGCTTGCGACTCTCGTTCATTCGAAATGCTGCCTTTCCCCCTCCTCAGGCTTCCCCGAGAGCTTCGAGACACTATCTACAGCTTTTACGTCATCGTCGACGGAGGTTACACTTGCGACACCGATGGGTTTACCCGTGGAAAGCTGAAGGGCGCCAGCCAAAAAGAAGTCGATCTATCTCTTGTCTACACTTGCAAACAGATAGCCAACGAGATGGACCGCGGCGGACTTGCTCTGAAACTGAACTCAATTACGTTTTCGACCCTGAATTCGGTCGAGTTCAGCCATTTGGCATGCCAATTCCAACAGCTCAAGAGCCGCGGCGTGGACTTCGTAAGATGCGAGATGTTTCAAACCTACGGACATCTCATACCCGACCGTGTCTACGCAGAAGTCCAGAAGAATTATCCGCAGTTCATGCCATTATTGGATCGCATGAAAGTTGAAGGCCCCCGGGCTCCTGTGCAAGGAACTGGTCCATGTTTGGAGCGTCACGGGCCCTACGGCGAGGCTCCGTCGGTCTACCGTGGCTTTATCAAAGATGTCTTAGAATCAGCCTGGACAGAGGACGATAGTTTCAGAAATCTGGTTGCCGACTTTACTCCCCCAATGTTTTCAACAGACCATATCGACAAGTGGTCGCCTTTCGAGGTTATTAAAAGTCATATCAACCCTTGGACCATCCCGTCCGATAGCCAGATGGACGCATTGGAGGCAGCGGTACCCATCGAATTCTCTTGCCCCAGGACTAGAGACGACCGATCCAAATATCGTTTCTCTGCAGCTGCGGCGGCCGTGTATTTCCTAGAGTCAATACCGCACTCTCTTCGTAAACATCTCCGCAAGATCATCCTGGACGAAGATTACGAAGCCGTTCTTTACCCACAAGAGCACGCTAGAGGCTTGATTCCGTTTTGCCAACAATATCCAATCCAGGTTGAGCGTCGCGTCAGTCTCTGGAACGTGGTCTTCCAGGAGGACATGTTCTATAAGCACCCAGATGAGCGCTGTTGGCGCAACCAAGTTGCAACGCGACGGACTCCTTTTGTGATGAATTCAGACCAGATAACGGCGAACATAGCCAATTGGATCACAGAGGCTCTTACGCTCGATCAAGAGGGCATGCCACCTGGATCTTTCTCACTCCTTCTCGACGGCGATCCGTGCCCAGACTTATGCTCACGCATTTTCAAGTCAATCGTCCAGCGAGATGCTGCCTGGCAGCAAGGTTGGGTAGAAAATATTCAGAGAGGTATACTCGGCCAAATTACATGGTTTGAGAGAAAGGGCGAAAACGTGTTGAGACACGGGTGGTTCGACTTCAATCAAATTGACAGGGCCTCACGATCTAGGGTACGGGCAGATCGACCGGGCTACTGGGGTTATATCTTCGAACAGTTTCCGCAATCATTGACCGATATTGCGGGAGGAACATCTATTGTGCATTGTAACTTCGACGTGGGTACACCTTGGGATGTGGAGTCTATCATTCGGAAGCACGCAGGATGGAACAAATACAAATGGGAACGCGAGTGGTTCAATCACACACCGCAGTCTTGGGGACCTGGGCCACCGTTGCCGCAGTGGCGAATGCTTCTAGAAGACAATACCTGGAAACATAACCCGTACGGGTGCCTTTGTCCGTGGGCAATGAAATATGTATAGGCAGGCCTCTGCAACGATGCAGACTTTTTGAGGGACAAATAGGACCCGAGCAATATTCCAGTTACCAAATTGTGTACACATCAGCTGCCTCTAAAAGCGCACAACAATGCTGGCTTTACGCGGATGATGAAAGCTTGAAACAGATGCGATGAAATTGGAACTCTATAAACTTCTCTAATTGAAGCTCACATATTCTTTGTGCCATCTGCTTTGGATATTTCCCTTTCGAACCTTTTTTCAGACAGGGCTGATGGTAGATGAACTTGACAACTCAACTGAAAATAAATGCCAGCCGTTCGTATTTTACCTGAGGTGGCTCCTGTCATGCAACTCCCTTGCTGTCGTCAGCCTTTTACAGTTTCCACAAACATTCGATGTTGCAAATTCCTAAGCCTTATAAACTCGGAAACATTTAACGAAAGATCTAGGCGTCTGGCTTATTCATTCGTTCTGCCTATTGTCTCCATTTGCGTTTCGTCCGATTTTGTTCTCACCTGACAAAGTAGTGCCCCCTTTCGCTTCTCGCCTGCTCGCATAAAGTGCTACAATTGATGAGAGTGAGAAGAATGCCACAAGAGCAGTCGGTATCAGGCTCAGGCAGATAGTTGTGGCACCCAATGTCCTGGAGACTGGGCTAATGGGGAACGATTGAATAACCAAGCATTGATGCCGATCATACCGACGGCATATGTTCAAGGCCAGATAGTAAATATCGATTGATCTGAGGATTGTCTACACATGGCTTCGTTCCCACAAGGCTAAATGTGAAAGACGCTGCTTCTCGGTAAAACAAAGACCGACATTGAATTTCAAATAGACCAGATCGGGGGACGGAGTCGGCGAACGGAGCATGATGTCCACCGATGTCCGAGGCGGCAGCTTTCCGAGAATCATGGTGGCAGTGTGGGTGGAGACGATGCGCCCTTCGTCCCGCAAGGCCGTGATATGCATGGTACACTATTGGAACAGACGGCCCCGTCCGCTAGCGTTGTTGATCATCCGGTGATGATCGAATCAAGAACCTTGCATGAGACTGAAAACTGAGGTTTCCGCCTGGAAGTCATTCGTAGCTGAGCGGCGTCGAGGCGCGAACCCACACCTGTGGGCATGGGCTTGGAAACTCGATAGGCAGGGGGAGCCCTCCTCTTGACTTTCGAATCTTTCCATCACTGCTGGCTCAAACCAGCTCCTCAAAAATTGACTTTTCGTCCTTAAATGTATTGTTGTGAAAATTCCTACGCTTTCACCATCTACTCCAGATGCCTAAACAACAATCTGGTTGGGGGACGGATCGAGATGGCCTAGTTCAATGCTCCCAGTGTTCCCGTCGATATCATCGCTCCGAGCATCTCGTTCGTCATGTTAGGTCCCACACGAAGCAGCGCCCCTATGTGTGCAACCTGTGCGGGAAGGCCTTCGGGCGCTTGGATATTCTTAGGAGGCATCAAGTTGCACATCCTGGGGAGGATGGCTTGGTTGCCGACAATTCTCAACGTGCCGCGACCGAACCAGTTGGAAAAGCATGCAAGTCATGCTCGTCGACCAAGTCCAAATGCTCAGAGGAGAAGCCATGTCACCGGTGTCTTGCGAAAGGTCTGGTTTGCGATTATGAGCCAGCTCATCAAGAAAGAGAAGAACCCGGCGATTTGCAGAGAAGACAGCGAGGGGAAAACGCCGCCTCAGACGTCGGACTTGCAAAGCCTGCACCAGAGGCTGAGCAGAGTGTCAGCATGCACGTGGTTCAGGGTGGAGCCGTTCAAGATTTCACGGCTTTATCTACTCCAGGTATAGATCTCACCGAAGAATCGTCGACCAGCCCGCGATTCAATGACCCAGATTCATCTTCATCTGGTGACCAGGTCATTTCAACTGATCCATTCACAGCATCCGATTACTCCTCAGGCATGCTATCAGCGCCATACGCAGACTAGTTCTCCTTTGGACCGGATTGGGACATTGGGACGCTGGACATCTCTTTTATCCAGGCCCAATTCGAGCTAGGTGACGCCAATATGATAACTGGTGATGTCTCGGACAGTTGCCAAGACAGTCTGGTTTCTCTGGTCTCTGAAAGTAATAATGTTGCGCTTTCAGATATATGGGAGCCAAAGAGCGACGAACATAACGAGATGGAGCGGCAAAATCTGGCAGTGGGTGAAGGGGCGTTCGGAGTTTCTCACTCGAAAAAAGCGACCGAAACCCGGGTAAACAAGCTGTGTGTGTCACCGGCTATACGCAGCAAAGTAGTTGGCATGATTCTAAGGACGACATCGGAGTCCAGGTCAGCAGAGGCACTGGGATGTTTTCCTGGGTGCCAAGCCTTGAGCTCGCTTCTTGACATCTACTCAGATTACTTAGAGGCCACCCGCATCTACGAATTTGTGCATTTGCCAACCCTTGACCTTTGCAAACAGGCACCGGAGCTGTTGGGAGCTTTGATATCGATAGGCGCAATTCAAGCAGAATCGACAGTGGCCCGAAAATTTGGATATGCAATGCAGGAAGTTGTGAGAGCGTCAGCCTTCGACAGTGTGAGAATCCTAGGCACAATCCCCGATATTCAGCGGCTAACAAGACGATTATGACTCCAGTGGGAAGGAAATAATGCCGCGGTATGCGACATCAGCTTAGCCCAAGGCTTCTTGTTACAGCAGAAAATTGCTTTCTTTAGCGGCGTGAGACGCAAAATTGCACTAGCGGAAGCCTGTTCGAAAGCTGCTGAAGTTCTGATCAAAAATGGGGGCCACATGAAGGGAGCCAGACAGACAGACTGTCAGGACCTGTCGACTATTACGGAAGCCCATGGAGATACCCTTGATGGGTTATGGCGTCAATGGTCGGTTCGCGAGTCCCAACGACGACTGGTCTATGCTTCCTACATTCTGGACGCTCATGTGTCCATGTCACATGGAACACAGATGATTTCGACATATGTCGATATGGATATGCCACTGCCAGCTCCCAATCGGTTATGGAAAGCGTCGTCAGCAATGCAATGGAAGGACGAGATCATTGCTTTACACGGGGCGCATGTGTCAGAGCCGCGTTCAAGCATCTGCCTCACAAAGCTTTTGGCTCAGCCGCTGTCTAGTCCAGCGGGATTCAAAAATATCGACTCGGATCTTGCAATTTTCGCGTTTCTGGCTGGGGTTTGGGCCCTATGCATGGAGTGTCATCAACTCAGCTTTGTCTTCGGGCAGTCGAGTACTTGGAGCCACATGATACTAGGCTCAAGACGCAATGAGCTATATTGCATGACGAAAGCTTTTGCCTCTCAGCTTCAGCTTACTGAGGTTCCAATCCCCGCTGAGATGGAAGTTCTCTTTGAGGCCCTGATTATGCACACCCTCACACAGCAGGATACTCCCGTCCTACGCCACCTGGCCTTCTCTCGAGCCGAAAGCGACCCGATGTGCCAAGGCCCCTTACCAAAACCAAATCGAAGTCCCGAGTATTGCCATGCGCTTTGGCGAGCGGGTCGGGTTATTCGAGCGGCGCGAAGTTGTCCGATAGGGAAGCTTTGTGGAGTATTTGCCTCGTCCTTGTTCCAAGCCGTTCTGCTTCTCTGGCGGCATGGTCAATCATGCCACAGCCTTGACTGTTCAACACTACCCACTTGCATTATAGATGAAGACGGATGCCAGGAGCAACATATTTTGGCTGGAAACATCAGCCTGGCAGTCTACGGCGCTCGCTCTGTACCAGTGTTTATCAAATCAGCGGACTTCGGAAAAAGCATAAGGGAGGTGATTGAAAAGAATTGGGGGGGCAAATATATGCCATCATGTACAGCAGGTATTTGCGACTCACTTTCAAACCTATCTAGAGAAAACAAGGATCATTAAGAGGAAATGAAGGAGGAAGGTGGAAGAGCTTGCAATAAGTGAAGGGAACTTCTGAGTTCCACGAGAAGGGGCTTGTATTGATTGTACCCTCAGTTACCCAATCGAAGTGGTCCTCTGTGATGCAGCGGCATTGTGGTGCATCCGGCTTATGGATCCTCATCGGCTCTCCACATCCGGCCTCTCCACATCCCGAACGAGGCTGCCCGTACCTTTTATATGAAAGAGAAGCAAGGTTTCAGTGAATTGCCGTGAAGGTTTTGAAAAGCGAGGTTCTCCTGGCAACTTTCGACTATTGAGATTTCGCCTTCAAGGAACATCGTCGAGGACTACGCCCAACTCGAGAATGGCCCCCATCAATCAACCTGGCTTACCCCCTCGAGGGACTTTAACACCCAAAGATAGCCACAAGACTATGCGGGTGGGAATTGTGGGTGCTGGCATTGGAGGCCTTATGGCAGCAATTACCTTGCTAGAGGGAGGACATGAAGTTGAGGTAGGCATGAATGCCGCTGGAAACCGATACCTACCACCTTCTCACCCAAGGCCAGATTTTCGAGAAATCTCAATTCAGCAAAGAGGTCGGAGCAGCTATCTCAGCACCGCCCAATTCCTCAAGGATCCTTGATTGCTTCGGTTTTGATTTCAGTCGCGCCAAGGCTACGCCGGCAGAAAGTGTAAGTGGATTCCAGCTTGATTAACGAATACGTCGTGGCGCTGACTGCCCTCAAAGCTGGTCTACAACAATGACGCCGAAAACTTGGGAGAAAGGACGGTACTTTCTCTCTTAGATTATAAGTCCAAGTACGGATTTGCTTGGCACTTCTTCCATCGTGTCGATCTCCATGATGAGCTCAGGAAGCTTGCAACTGAGCCAACTCCTTCACGTAAGGGGTTTGCTCGCCTTCATCTCGCTACATGCGTTTCAAGTATCGATCTGGATGGCACCATTCATTTCCCGGATGGAACGACAGTGAAGAAGGATCTTGTCGTCGCAGCCGATGGCGTCCGCGTGAGTTCAGAGTATCCAAGACCCATTGCAGCACTCGAAACTTACCCGCACAGTCCTCTTTCATATCCGCGGTGTTGGGCGAAGAGATACCGTCTCAGCACTTCATGACAATGACTCGGTTGCTGCTGCCTACGGAGCAAATGGCTAATGATGCCGATACTAACGCCTTTTTCAAGGGCGGATACAACTCTATTAGAGTCCTCAGAGTTGACGACGGCAGTCTTGTGACGTATGGCTGCAGAAAGTAAGTCGAAAAACGCCCAAAGTGTCTGGAATACAGAATATTTGACTTATTGAAATGCAGTGGCGCGCTGCAGAACATTGCATTCATGTATCCAGCAGAGCATTTTGAGGACGCTGCAGGTATGCCAATCTCAAATGCCAAGCAATCTGCTCTTTCCGCCACTGACTTTTAAATGCTATTCAATAACGGGTCAAATACTGATGCTCATCCTGGAGGCTTCCTGAAAAAGTATCCTGCTTTCATCCAATCTCTGGCATCGTAAGCCCTTAATCCTGCCGCTAGTCTTTGAAGAACCTGTAGTCCATCTAACGAACTTGGCAGCAAGGCCAGTGGTATAGGAGAATGGAGGCTTCTGACGAGAAAGCCTCTTGACAGATTTGCCCGAGGTCGGCTTGCGGTCATTGGTGATGCAGCTCATCCGATGCCTCCCTGTAAGTCAGCTTTGAAATCATGCCGTGAAGACGACTCAGCTTACGCGATCTTCGTAGTACGTGTGCAAGGGGCATCCATGGCCATTGAGGACGCCGCCGCTCTCGGTGTGTTTCTGTCGAGCTTGAAAACCTTGGAAGATATACCGACGCGATTGGAAATGTTTAATGACCTGCGAGTCTAACGAGCCGCTACTGTGCAGCTCATGTCGTCTCAACACAAATGGGACCCGAGGAAGATCCCGGCAGAATTCGTCCACTACTTTGGCGAAGACATCCCACGTACGGAACCAACTTCCTCAATCGTTCGGAATTACCCACACTAACTCACGATTGCAGAAAACGATGTGGACTTGGAGAGGTGCAGTTGCGATCACAACGTCATGAAAGAGGCGTTCAAGATGTTGCAGGGGGAAGATCAGGGAAAGTTATGACCGGTTTGGGAGGCACAGAAGGAAGAGAATGCCACGATGTCTCTTCTTTAGATCCCATGAAAATCCATCCATCACAATTGTAACGCTGTATTGAGCGCTCATCTTAATTCATCCTAGACTTGAAATTTTTGAAGTAGGCAATGCTAGAAACTCACTTCCACAGCGGGACGGTGAGAGGTCTTTCGAGGTAAGCACAAGGATGTCTGGAAGATGAGACTTCGACAATTCATGGGCTGAGCAGCTGGTAAGAGACATGTTACCAAAAGCAGACAGGCATGTTGTGAGACTACTGAACGGGCTTCCATATCTCACGCGACCATCCGAGGCGGTGTCTCGGATCAAGCAGCCTTGACGAAAACAGTCCGTGTTACGCGGGGCATTCCTAGTGTGTTCTCCAATATTGTGGCGTTGGTTTATGGAGGCAACATGTTTATTCTGGTCCCATCTTGGAAACATGTTCTCTCCCCTCATACTGAAAACGAAGTAACTTCCGAAACATGGCGGCTTGGCTGTGGTAGAGAAACTCAGCCATCATTCGCTGAGACACGACCTGATGAATTTGGGTGTCGCACCTTCATGCTGTACGTCAGCAGCAACTGTCCCGAGACGCCAACTTGAAGAGAATTCTCAGTACGGTTGTACCTCTCATCATTCATTGCCAAGGCCGCATCGGACACAACGGCTCGGCGCGTCGAAGTTGGCAATGCTCCATTCGGAGGGAGCCACCCACTAGTCTCGACGTGACCTGAGAGTCACCAAGACATGCTTCTTGGCATCTTTTCCGAGAGCAGAAAACAAACAAGAAGAAATGGGTATTAAACTGTCTCGTAGATCAGCATATTTATATCTGTGGCTCGTTTGGATTCTCCCTCATGTTGCTTACAACACTGGCTCCGAAAATCGCACGGGTCAAATATTAATCTTCAAGATGTGGACGCCGACACAATTTCTCAGCTTACTCGTCTTCTTCGCTGCCTGTGCCCAAGGTGCACCGACAAAAGAGGTTCGTGCAGACGTTGAGGGAAAATGCAGCAGGGTGCAAGTAGCGATCCTCGGCGCTGGCCTCGCCGGAATCACTGCCGCCAAGGTGTTAGACGATGCAGGCATCAAGAATTTCACAATTATTGAGTACAACGACCGAATCGGCGGCCGTGTGTACAATCGCGCTTTTGGGAAGCAGCCAAATAGTGACGAGCCTTACTTTGTAGAACTCGGCGCGAACTGGTATGAAGATATCTATCTTCTTGATAGTCCAACTAATGATGTCGATAGGGTCCAAGGCACTGAAAATCCAACCGAAGAGAATCCAATCCTGACATCGGTCAAAAATTACAACCTAACCAATACACCTTCCGACTTCTCCAATCTGACAGTCTTTGATGAGACTGGTCAAGTGCACCCTGGCAGGTTATCGGGAAGATTCAAAGAGCTTCAATCGCTATACGATAACGCCACTGAAGAGTATCAGTACGACGCTGGTGAAATAATTCTTCAGAATCAGCTAGACCGCAGTGCCCGTGCCGGCCTCGCTATCGCCAACTGGAAGCCGGGCAGTGAGCCGCTGGCCCAAGCGATCGAGTGGTCTTCGATTGATTTCGAATATGCCAATCCTCCGGAAAAGACGTCTCAGCAGTACTCGGTCGTCAACACCAACACATCCTTCCAACGTTGGGCGGACGAAAACAACCTTGTACACGATGCCCGAGGATTTGCCACCTTCTTCAAGGAGGAAGCCAAATTGTTCCTGGACGAGAGTAGCCAATTGAAACTCAAGACGATTGTGGAGAACATCACCTACTCTTCAGAATCCGTCACGGTATACAATGGAGACGGCAGCTGCATCACCGCCGACTACGCTATCTGCACGTTCTCGCTAGGTGTCTTGCAAAAGGAGGTGATCAGCTTCTCGCCAGAGTTGCCACCTTGGAAACGGACTGCCATCCAATCCATGACCATGGGAACCTACACAAAGATATTCATGCAATTCAAGCCAGAAGATGTATTCTGGGACAAGAGCACTCAGTTCTTCCTATACGCCGATCCAGTCCAGCGGGGTTACTATCCTTATTTCCAGTCCCTAGACCACAAAGACTTTATAGATGGCTCGGGCATCCTCTTTGTCACCGTGGTCGACCAACAATCATACGTTGTGGAGGCCCAGGACTTTAATATAACCAAGAGCCAGATCATGGAAGTTCTGAGGGATATGTTCCAGCGGGAGATTCCTGATCCCATCGACTTTTACTATCACAACTGGACTCGCGAGCCTTGGGTGTACGGATCCTACTCGAATTGGCCGCCGGGTCTGACGTTGGAGATGCATCAAAACATCCGCGCCAATCTCGGGAATCTGTGGTTCGCTGGCGAGGCGACTCATCCACAATACTTTGGGTTCCTGCAGGGCGCGTATTACGAGGGTATGAATGCGGGCGAGGCTGTTGTAGGCTGTATCAAGAACAAGGGGGATTGTGTCAGAGGGGTCGCGTACGAGGTTTTGAATGGAACGACTACTACTGACAAATATTCAAAGGTCAACGGGTGGAGTACCAAAACATTCGTCAAAGAGCTTGGTATAAACATCAAAAGCTGAGAGGTTGATGCCAAAGATACAAAGCTTTAGGATGCTGACGAGGAAGGCTCTCCTACATATTCACGCTCCTATGATCAAAACACCTTGATTGAGATGCAATCTTGTTAAGTTTCCGTAAAAAAATAGATCGAATTGGAAAAGCCTTCAAAAAGTGTGATGAAGAAATATTTGGATAAGTGAAAGGGTAAGAAAACGCGTCTGACACTGAAACTTCCATGCCAGCTTGCAGCCATCGAAGTCCATGTAAATTGGCCAGGTTACGACGATGAAACACTTAGAAATCGGCCAGGATCATGGGTTGATCTCACTGAAGCTGAGGGCTGAATGATGACGGTGCTGGAGACGAGTTATCCCGACAGATACAACATTACTCTTGGGCTAGTCTCTGAATGACCCGGGGCCCTCGTCGATACAACTTGCCCTTTTCATACCGTGAGCTTGTGGATAGGTGAAGGCAGCTTGTTTGCACAAAAACATCCAACAATATTCCACCGGCGATCAAATTCAATCAGGAGAAGAAGCTAGTAGCATCCATGGATGACTGATGTGAAATGCTTGCAATTATGGCAATGACGCGTTTCCAACTCTCCCAGTATACTTGACCCCCATGGAAAGAGTAAGCTATCGTAAGCCACCAACAAGCATACCCATACAGTAGTGAACAAGACAACGACATGCACACCTCTGGCTAAATTACTCAACCCAAATTGATTTCCAGAGCCATAGAAGCTGAGAAACCAGACTGAAATCGAACTCCGAAAGGTAAAATCCCATCGAAGAAGTTAGTCGCACAATTCATTCACACAACATGAAACTGTTAGGGCTCATCAATAGTTTTATTGGAGCTGTGCTCTTAAGCACATCCGCCTCCGATAGTACAACACATTTGGCCATGGACGTCATTGCCCAGAGATATTTCATTTCAACAGCAATATATCTCTTCTGTAAATTCACTTGCACCCATCGTAAGTTAGGATACAATTCAAAGGTAAGGTATCCCAGGAGAACGTACATACAGAAGAAAAACAGGTGATACAGGGATGAATTATGGTCACGCGAGGTGGATGAGGAGGAATGAGTCTTGTGACAGCTGAGAGGGTTGACTCCGAATCATTCCGGCTGGACGGGATGGATGGAATTTGCTGCAGGTCATTTCCGTATGTGAAGAAACATCCATCAAGCAGAAGGTCACATCACTTCTTTTAAGTCTAGGGGGTCTCAGAAGTCCCCACACAAACATTTCCGGCAGGATGGATCTTGCTAGCGGAAGCTTCAACACGTGCCATGCCGATTGGACTTAAATCTAAATCACGTCAAAAGACGTAGGCGTGCATTCGTCATTATCATGGTAAAAAAGACCAGACTTCTGAAGAACCGTTAAAACTCCCGGCCGCTTGGACAAATGTATACTGCTACTCCCGAGCGATTTGACATCACACTTGTAGCGTCCAGAAAACGACAAGGCGCCTGCTCAAATTTCATGCAGTTATGGGGGCAATGAAAAGATACTAATGACAATTTCTTTCGGGTCCCCTGGATGCACTTTGGAAAACCGATTACCGACCACCCCTGATCTAATACTGTCTTGACTACAGGTTTCGAGGTATCTGTGAATTGTTGCGAATGAAAGAAAGCAATTGCTGGGTCTGGGAAGAATTTGATACAAACACGTCCGATAATGCCGATTCTCAGCGGATATGGTAAGTGAGAGCAACGTAGGTCAATTAAGCTTTCTTGAGATATTGTTTAGGTGCAAGACCAAGCTCAAGCCAGCCAAGCCGGCACCGATATCGCCACAAGTGTAGCATGGACGTCGGCCTCTTGAAAAAAGCCATTGGAATCGAGAACAGCTTGGTTAAAAACAAAACCAATGCAAAAGGGCGAATGAAAAAGAAAATCTTTTGGAGGATCAAACTAAAGAATTCCAGGGCTGAGACATAGACGAGCCAGAGCCAACACTTTATTCTTTTACTGAGACGCTCTGGAAGTGCAAACTTTTGGCCCTTAAATCGTCACTATGGCCTACAGCGTAGTCAGAGCTCAATGGCCGAGAATATGAGACAGCCTATTCTGCAGAGCACCCAAGCAATGCTAACCATCTGCCTCCATGACAGACCGACATCGAATCTATCCTCGTTTGTCTGCTTCATCTTTATCAAAATTCCTTCACTGTATGTGTCTGGTCGAACCCTGAGGAAAGGGAATAAAACCTAAACAGCTTCAAGCTTACCTCTAATACCCTCATGTCTCAGCTAGCCGCGTGGTTGGCATCTCGCAATTTCAAAAAGGATCAGTTTGGGCAGTTTGACTGGTCAATGCGTCCCAAGATTCTTTAGTCCACAAGCCACGTTCAATGCCAGAGACATTAACTAACCGTTGCTTATATGATTACAAGACCTACGGCTAGAAAGAGAACTTCCGAAACATCTTCTCATTCTCATATCAAGACATAAGTGTCTTAGGCGACCCTTGGTTGCTCTCATTTACATGCAACAGCCATCGCCGATTCTCCCTTGCACTGCGTCTGATGCAAGCATTGGGATGAACCAGACCAAATGATCGACGGCGCTCCCTGCTTGTAACGGAATGCCATGACTGTTCGATGGCATGATATCAGCCCCAGCTCAAGATGTTGTTGGTGAAATGGCTAGTCGCGGCAAAGATGCTTAAACTTACTTCACGTCGACCTCTCCAGAATGGCTTAATACAATAGCCAAGCCGCTTGCCAACCAACAGCATGATAGTTCAATCTCCAGTTCGCTCACTTTAGTCACTCTTTTTGACCTCACTGCTAAGGTCTACCACACTCCTTTCTGAAGTTCTTGTTTTGTTGCCCCTTGGAACAGTTCGACGGTATCAGCCGTTGGACCAGTCCGTCGTTCTTTCACCTTGAGTATTTTGCCCGGACAATTATTAACGAGCATGATTCTCAAGCTCTCACTTGTAATCTTGCTGGCAGCGGGTGCCTTCGGATTCCCCGCTGTTGGCAAAGAGTACTCCAACTCATCGCATCTAACGTCCTCCTGCGTCAAATGCGCCCTACCTGAGCCTCCAGTGACCCCTCCGTGCCCCACAGGAGATGCTGGACCGAATCGGTTCGGGCTTTCAGGCCAGCAGACAGCCACCTTCGCGGAGAATGGACCGATTGCCACCTTGTCGCCCAATGTTCACTGGTCTTGCGATACCGCACCGGCTTCGAACGTCATCCCAATCCCGGCCAATGAGGGTTCTCAGATGTACTACGGCGTTGGAGGTGAGTGCAGACATTCAGAGCTGTTACTTCAGTTAATAACTACTGGGACCAGACCCATCAAAGCCTGGCGGTTTTGCATTCATGACGTATTGGTTCTCGGCCCCATCAGTGAACCTCGACCACTGCGACCATGTGGCGTCGATGGACTATACAGCCGGGGCTCTTACAATTGTTTTCGCTTCGGAGGAGGCTTACAGGCACGCCGTGGATACCTGGGCCACCGACGGTGACTTGATCCTGCTAGCTTTCATCAAAGGCTGCGGAGATCATTCGAAGGGTGAGAGATGCTACTTCGTAGTGTCCGAATTGGACTTTGGTCCTCCTGGCTATGTTGTTAGAGCCAACGGCAAAGCCCGTCACCCCGACGAGATCGCCACATCCGGGTCAGCTACATGGGGTCATTGGTCACCGAGGAAAGGAGAGCCAGGGATCCAGCGAACTGGTTCAGGAAGCGGTTCAGGTTCTGGGTCGGCCTTCACCTGGTCTCCTCAGCCAACGGTATCTCCAGGATCCGGCTACAATTCCGGACAACAACCTGGATCGAACATCCCTGGAGCCTCAGCAGCGGCGCCTCCAGTTCCGAATCCATCTGGGATCACGACTGCCAATCTTTCCTCCACGCGATCTTGCGCAGGACCGCTGGATACAAAGTACGGCCTTCCTACGGCCTGCTTGGGAGAGTTCTTTGACGAAGATCTGGATGATTCTCTTGGCTACACGGATCTCAGCCAAGATGACCATCGATATATTCTTGGTTACGCACCCGACTTTCCGAACGAAGTCCTTCCACCTGAGTTTGACTTTGATGTAGATGCGGAGGGCTTCTTCAGAAAACGTCATAACCAGCATCGCAAGCGACAGGCAGGACTCATCAAAGCTGCCGCTAACATCGCCAAGAAAGCCTATCAGACTGTTCAGTTTGCCACAACACTCTCTGGAACTATCAACAGAGAGTTTGTCTGGAAGCTCCCGGATCCATCATCTGGGAATGCTGACGCCAAGAGGGTTCAAGACAGGGAAGCCAAGCAGATGAGGTCGCCTTGGGGTGACGCCGTTCTCCTCAGAAGATTCAGTAGCAGCGTCAGGGGTAACGGAGGGAGCGCCAAAGAGTTCATGGACGTCTACTGCGTCGGTTGCGGTGTCACTGGCAACGCAAAGGTCGCTGGCTCAGCCAAATGGACTCCTGGTGAGGGCATTGTCGAAGGCCAGGTCGAGATCCGTACAGATGTCATGTTCGTTCTCAAGGTCGGCATCGATGCTGGGATTGTTCTCAAGCAGAACTTCAAAGCAGAGCTATTCAGCCTCGGCCTACCCGGCCTGTCATTTGGAGTTGTGTCTATTGGGCCTCGTATCACAGTGGGCACGAGCGTCACCCTCGAAGCGGCTGCCAAGGGGAGGCTTCTTGCAGGTGCGGAAATGGGATTGGAAGATGCTCGCGTCGTTCTTGACTTTGTCAATGACAGCAAAGCCAGCGACAGAGGCTGGGAGCCTTACTTCAAGCCAGTGTTTGAGGCCGACGGCAGCTTGATGGTCTCTTCAACTCTCGGACTGCCAATCGGCATCAAGTGCGGAATCAAAGTCAGCACCTTTTCAAGGGACGTGGGGGTCATCTCCGAACCATCTATCAAGGGCGTTGCCCAAGTGGCAGCGTCTATCGGAAACTCCGCTGGGGTGCTCGAGGGCGGTTTCACCTCAAGAGACGGCTGCCCCGGCATCGCAGGACAGATCAGCTGGCGACACAGACTATACGCCGAGATCCCCGGCCGCAAGCCCATTCCTCTACTGGACACTAAGGATAGACCTTTGGCGCGAACCTGTCTTTCGTGAGTTTCTCTCCACACATACTTTCAGACTCGAGCAAACACTGACCACAAATGTGACTTCGAAGGCTGGTTGCCTCAGCTTCGTCAACGGCAAGGGCTTCGATTTCTCGTCGAGCACCTCAGGACCTCCCAGTACCTACCGCTGATACCGCAACCGATTCGCCCCCTATTCTAGGCGGCCCTCCAATCCCCACCGATCCAGTCTCCTCTTTGCTCGACCCAGTTCCATCTCAGGGTAACCCACCTGCGCCCACGGTTGATTCACCCGCTCCTACGGTTGATACTGCTCCTGCTCCCGTACAGCCGACGGAGTCCCCTGTCGATTCGGTCGTTCCCTCCGCGGATTCCCCCTCTCAGACCGTCGCATCGACTCCTGATGCGACAAGTATCGATCTTCAACCGACTGGCGATGTCATTGACGAGACGACCAGCGTAGCGGGATCAACGGACCTTGACTACACCTCTCAGCCTGTCGGCACGAATCCCTACATGGATGACACTGGCCGCGAATTCGGTATCATTACTGACTCGTCGAACTCCTCAATGATTATCTCCTGCAGTAACGGCAACATGTATCCTGTCAGCATCGGCAGTCCGGAGAGTGCGGTATGCTCAGAACTGTGGGCTGCTGCACAGGATGTGCTCATCTACGATGGAGCTGAGCGTCTCATGCACTACTACACCAACACGATGTCAGTACTTGGTGTTTCCCGGCTTCGAGTCGGACCCGAGTTTGTGGCGCCCGCGGGCGCTGCCGTGGTCACGTGGGCGGTGTACACTGCCCCGGATGGAGCCAATGATTCCTACTACGTGGCTGTCGACTCCCATGATGGACTCTTCTATCCCATCATCTGTGATTACTCAGATGGAACTGCCTCCAGACTATTTTTGGCTAAGGATCCAGTCGCAGGTGTCACTTTGTTGGAAAGCGCAGATGTGATGTACTCAGTCACAGGAGGCCAGGTTTCGACCTGCCAGACGGTGGCGTTGGGCCTGAGGACCAGATGACTTTTTCATATCTCATAATTCTAGTACTATTTAAATTTCTCAGTATCTGACTGTGAAGTGAAGAACCCGAAACAACTCATGCAGGAGCACATGGGATCGTGGAGCGACCGTTGGGAAATCCCTAATGCTGACCCAATGCCAGCATTCAATTGGGTTTGAAGCATCGAAGCCATAGGAAACAGACTTCCTGCTGCCCACCCCTCTTACGAGATTCTGGATTCTCGTTTAGTACATCAGATTCTGGCGTCATAGCCACACCCTCGCTTATCCTCAGATCCCTCTCCCTCCCACTTCTTCAACAGAACAACCGCCCAGAGCCAGTAAGCTTACCCAATGGAGCAGGTTGAATCCTGCTGCATCGGGATTTGTGTTTTGGATAGTGATCTGTCAGATGTTTGGTCTCGTCTCGTAAAAAATTACAGTCTTGTTCCAGCACCAACAGCGACTTGGCACTTGGGTCCTTCAACCGCTGAACTGCAATTGAATGTGTTGGTCTGCACATGACCTTCCAACACAATGGTCGGATTGCTCCTACCGTCGGTAAAATCGAATATTCATCGGCACTCACGTCGTCGGATTGGTCGACTGATCAAGGGGGTGATTGCTTGCCACCTGTTGTGTGTTCGATACTTACGGTGAGCATGAGACGGCTGGAGCTATAACATACATAAAAAAGATGCTCGCTCCAGGTAAACAGAAATTCCCAGGCATCATTCTTCGCATTGTTTTCTGTCTACTCAATCAAGGCGGATATCATTAATACTCAAGCTGGTGATGCCTCCTGGACTGACACGTTCTACTCTTTGAATCGTGGGAATGTCGACACCGAGCTCCAACGTCTGGATGCCAATCATTTCAACGTATGGTTGCCTCTCACAGGTCAGGTAGCACCGACGCATATACTCGATCAGCTCAACCAAGCTTCGTCACCAAGAGTAGCGGACGTAGCCACCGGCAATGGGGTTTGGTTGCGCTCTGTTGCCCAGCATCTGCGATCCGATGCAGAGCTCTTCGGCTTCGATTTCGACGCAGTCAAGTTTCCTGACTCCACTGCATCATCTAACATCAAATTCGAACAGCAAGACGTGCTTCAGGAGTTTCCTATGGAGCTACAGGGAACATTCGACCTTGTCCATGTCCGCCTGCTCCTAATTGCAATGAAGGCTAGCGACTTCGAAGCTGCCACGAAGGACTTATTCCAGCTACTCAAACCTGGCGGATGGCTTGTTTGGGACGAGGTCTCTGCGTTGTCTTTCCGATCAGTTCCGCCCAGCAAGGCTTTTGAGGAGTTTACAAGGATCGAGATCTTGCAGTCCATCAAGAATGGACAAGACCCAAGGTGCGTCGCCTCTGTGAAGACAAAACGCCGTTCTGACTAGTCTTGCAAGGGGACCCGCGCGACTACCTGAGATCTTCCAGAAGGTTGGCTTCCAGGACTGCGAAACGAAGATTTGGTCTAGTTGGGCAGCCAGTGAGAGTGTGCAAGACGCTGCACGGATGGTTTCTCTGGGAATTGTTAGGCCGATGATGACGGCGGTCATTGACAATGGAGGCTTGGAGAATGTTCAAACAATGGCCGACGTTGAGCGGTTGCATGACACTCTGGCTCGGGAATTGCAGAACGGGACGAGAGTGGGATTTGATTATGTTCAAGTTTTGGCACAGCGACGTTCGTGAGGGAACGTGTCCTTATGGTCTCAGTATCTATGTTATGCGAGCCATTAAGTTGTCATTATGCGAGCATGCTCTCCTACATTTTGCTTTGCCTAGACAGCTTAAAAGATCTTAACTTCTGAGCGGACACTAGAGGGGCAGGCTACGAAGAGCAGAAAGTGAACAGATTAAGTTGTAAAATAATGAGCAGTCCCCCACAAAAGATATTGAGTATTTGCTAAATCATCGTTATTTCTCGTCTGTGCTGCATGAAATTCACCCTGCATCCATCGGCGTTCATAGAGCTTGGATGTCGAGAGGTAGGGGAATATTCAGGGTACTGCCTGCTAACGGTTGGAAGACTCCGATTGGCGAGGTAGTAGTCAATCGGAGTTCAGTGTGAGCTGGGGTCTAATGATCAGGGTATTTCGAAAAACGAGCCAACCAGAACGATGCTTCATAAGATCACCGATGACGTCCTCTCTGCGCCGCACAGCGACTGAAAACCGGCTGTTGCCTAAAAGAAGCAGCCATCTTCGAATTATTTTGCAATCATATCTGCCATTCAATCCCATACGTAACCCAACCTGAACCAAATCACCAACGCCAGTGATTATCTGGCGTCCTCGATCCTAAACCGTGATAGCCGGTATGCTGTGGCCAACAAACGGCCGCCCCGCACGATCACGATGGTTGGTAACGTCCCACACCCACTTCCGGACCACCCACTTTTGATGCCCTCACATTTATACACATCAACTTCAACCAATATTTATATGTATTATGATGCCACGACGATGCAACTTTCGCTGTCACTAGGGTTTTCAGACTCGCTGGATTCATCTGTGCTACTTTCAAGTTCGCCCGCCTCGATTTAAGCCCTCCGAATAGCCTCAATATCGGCAAACTTCGAATTTGGGCTCATTTTGACCTTCTTCTGTTTCCTGACCCTACTGGCATCAACCTCTGCTTGTAGTGCCTCAAATTTTCGTTAGGCTACTGCCAGTTGGTATGCCTTCTCATTAAAGCCCTTTTGAACCTTCCGAAAAAGCAGGCGCTACGTATGCTCATCGTTATCCAGCTTACTGAACAGGCTGAACTGATCCTGAAGCTCATCCCTCTTCTTAGGGGTTGACCAAGGGACTGCTGATATATCTGCCGCCCATTTTTTTGCTTGCTTTGCCATCAGAGAGCCCTTTGCAGACCTGACCAGCTGGTTTGGCAGGGGTTGAAGTGTTCTCAAGCAGCAGAGGGCTCATGAGGGGTCTAGCCATACTGACAGGCCACAAACCAGTCTATTTCCAGCTACTGATGATATTCTTGCTTGTTAGGGCTGCCTTACGCGCCTTGCCATAGCATAGAACGAAATTTCTCTTGCCCACAACTGTACCAGCATCCTATTCAGCCAGCAATCCAAGCTCCTTCTTATATGCTGCCTTGAGGGGCCTAAAACCCAACTGATAAAGTGGCTGAAGGACGTGTAACGTGTGTGCTGGCAAGAACAGCAGATATATCTTGTTCCTGAAGCATATATACATAAAAGCAGTAGTCTCATAGCTTCTATGACCATCTAAGATCAATAATCTAACCTCTGAGGGGTCCCTTGGCTGGGTTGAAGGGATAAAGACCTCTGTTAACCACTTAACAGCTGTAGAGTCTGAAGTCCACCCGTTTTCTGTAGCTGTGAACTTCCAGGATTCATATAGCGTCAGATCTAGAGGGAACCACTGCTGCTGGACATTCTTACCCTTATATATAATAAGTGGAGGCAGTGCCTTGCCAGTTGCAGAGATACACTCGATCAGAGATGTCCAAGCATGCGATCCAGGCTGTTTCTTGCGGATAGAACGAGTTTCTGATAATCCAAGAATAAGCCTATTTAATCCTCTGCCTTCTAGAATACCAGTCTCATCTATATTATATCGATTAGAGGCCTTGATAGCTATGATCTCAGGTATGGCGAGGTGTTTGAACCATTACCTGATTACATCAGTTGAAGCTCTATTGATACGCTGGGAATTAATTACTCTGCTTCTTTAGACCCTTACAGATAGGTTTCTCTTAATAAAAGCCTGCACCCAGTTCTTTCCAAGAGGCTGGGAGTCTCTATAGACCTGTAGGATGCGTTCAGCAAAGTCCTTGAGTTGTTGATAGGTTGGAGGCAGGCCTAGGGCAGCCTGAATTCAAACCTATTCAGCTAGGTGGCTTTCCTGGGTTGGAGAAAGCCTTTGCAGATCAGAAAAGGCAATATCTCGTGGCTGAGCCCCTTGAATTCGACGTAGCAGAGTGGCCTTTGGCACACCATACTGTAATGAAGCTTTTCGTAGGCTAGTACCAGTTGCGATAGCCTCAAGCGCCTGAGAAACTTCATCTTCAGTATAATCAACCATCATGCAGTTATTATGCTTCGTAGAAAGTTTGGTAACAATTGAGTAAAGAATAGTGAAGTTATTCAAGTTTGGAAGTGGCGGTGTGCATTTTCGATGAGGCATTTTGGGGTGGTCCGGAAGTGGGTGTGGGACGTTATATATGAGAAGTATAACTGCTCTGCACCAGAAACCCACCGACCGGATGCAGTCTACGCCGACATTTCAGGGATTGGGGTAAGCAATCCGATTAGACCAATGCTATCAAATGTCTTTATTGACCTGAAGCAGGTCGTCATCGCATTCATTATCACCGCGTATATGGTCATTGTTCTCGGCACTATCGACTATTGACTTGCATTCGGCCAGTCGACGCCTTCAAGTTCGCAAGTCACATCCGGTATACTAGTCAACCAGATCGATGCTGGAGTAGTCGTTCCCATACAGGCATTCTTACGCGGGGCGTTCCCTCTACTCTTTCAAGACAACCGGCTCGCTGAAATACGTGACATCCTACATTCGGTATGTTCCCTGATTTCAAAACCTACCTAGGAACTTTCCTCGTGATTATTTACTTACCTTTGTATCCAGTTCATCATGGCATTATCAGACATGCAGACCTGCACGGAAATTCTTATACTAACAGCAGGTGCCATAGTCATGTTAACAACCACACTCTCGCAGTATCACTGGGAGATTGTAGTATTGATGGCGTGGCTATGCCACGTGAGCAACATGTCTGCAATGGCCTCTTTCCGTTCGGCACTGCAAGACCAAGTGTTGCGACGATATTGGAGGATCGGCCTCGGAACAGTGTTGACTCTGATGCTGTTTATGTCGAATATTCCAACTGGGTTTTGGTACAACGAGGTTCCCTATGCACGCCACACCCACTACGCCATATGTGACATCACCGTTGAGCGAATGAAACAGGTGATACGCTATCTGCCTATCAGCTACGATGTGAACGACGAGTCTGATGGTGCAGGAGCACTCGAACAATTCATAACCTTTGTCGCCTCATCCGTTATCATCTGCTTGGCGTACGTCGTCCGGATTATGAAATTAAGCGTCCACCTATCGCAACGGGCCTCCGAGATCAAAACAGCATGTGCAGTCTTCTTTGCTGCCGTTGTATCTCGTTTCGATGGTAGCGTGCAACAAATGGAGCCTGGATGGTTTCAGCATTATTTGATGCATGGTGCAAGACCATCGTTAAGAAGCGCTGCAATTTTCTGCGGGTTTACACTGCGACTTTGTCGCGTCGATGCTATCAGAGATGTGTGAGAACTTGTCTGCAAGAATGGGAACAACGCCTGACACGAGACTTCCATCCGGCTTCTATTTGCATATTTCTCTGTAATATGGGTAAAAAGGCGCATTGGCAATCTACGAGGACATATATGGTTCGATGGGCCCCAGAACACGTGGACATTTGGCCAGATTCTTCCTATGGCTCTGCTTGTGTATCCACTTCTCTCTTTGACAGAGAGTATACTGCTAGTGATTTTCCGCACAGGTGATGTTGTCTTCCCAAACAACGGAAGCATATCTCTTGCTAATACTTCATCGTTGAAAAAGTGCCCTCGACGGTACATAATCCTCAAATTGAATCAGCTATCGAACACGAAAGGTTGCATCACCCAGACAATGGGTCAAGTATGACAATAGAAAGATCGAGATTGAACCCGGTTCTGGACATCTACACGATACATCATCACAACCTAAATTTCGACTGGAGGTATCGGGTCAGACTTCAGTTTCTTTTCCAGTTGCTCCTGATATTTCTCAATTCACTTCTTGTAGTGGACGCCAACGCACTGAGCATGTTTTTCTATAGTTTTGACACTGTCATCTTCCTTCACCCTTTTGCAATTTACTTCTCAACGCTCCTTCAAATTCAAGCCGACGCGTTACTTCCAGCTATTTCGGCTGCGAGCTCTAATGCTTCAGACAACCGCCAAAAATCGGGGCTTCTCTTTTCTGCAGTGTTCGGTTTGGTATCCTTCCTCTTTTATGTAGCGCCAGTCTTAGTCAACACCCTCCGTACCCACTCGCCCGATAGAATTCTTTTTGGTTGGCATTTTCCGATAATTAGGTTTCTGTATTTTAGTGGATGGTGGCTGCTCTTCTTCCAGGTGACAGCCATATCTTTGAGCTGCATGATAGCTTGTATGGGCATTTATCATATTATTTGGTGCGGCATGAGTAAGTAGAAATATTCGCGTCATCCGATAAGGCACAATTTGCGGGACTCCAGCAGCTGTTAGAGTTCCATGATAATGCCTGGATAGAATCGTGATGAGTAGCCTCGCCTGCGCACAGGACTTGTAAGCTATACTTCTCTCACACTGGTATCATTTCACACACTGCCTTTCCTTGGGCAGACATGATTTGATTTACATTGTAATAATACAGTCAAATAAATACTAGTAAAGAAGCGAAACCACCAGAACTATCTTGCCGCCCCCCCCCCCCCCCCCCCCCATCAATCACTGCACCTTATTCC